GGACTTTCTATCAAATGATGAACACCGTGAGCTTTCCCAGAGGAATGCGCACTGTTCCCAGCCTGCCCGCTCTTCACCAATCACTAGTCTTCTAACTCACTTCAAACTACTCAGTGTGGAAGAAACGCATGCAGGCGTTCCTCAGTCCAGACCCACCGGGTCACCATTATGTCCACATCCTCATTACCCTCTCTGATGAAGCCTACGCAAGGGGCTATGCTGCTGGATTTTGTAGCACGAATCCTACCAGCACAAAACTGGAGTATACCGGACTCCTGCTTCGACTCACAGTTGGGCCCTGATCACGTGATGCTGAAACATCTCAGCCGACGACAGCTGCCTGGAGAGAGAGTCCTGTAGATTACTTCCATGTTCTGTGGACTATGGTGGTTCGTACTGGCATCCATGGGGATACAGCAAACAAAGAAAGAATGGTACGTAAACGGTTCATTGATGGTTTACTTCCCTGTGATCTGCGCACAAACCTCCTGCGGCCACCCCTAACCAGTACGCTCGACCTTAAGCAGACGATCCTTCGGTTTATGGAGGCTGGCGAAAACTATGCAGACACGAACAACAGCTCCTGATGTACAGTCCCTGCAGAACTTACAGGAGCTTCCGTCTGCCACCCTAACCACAATGCTACAGTGCGTAACCGATGACAGCGTGTGGATACCAGCGCGTCCAGCTGTTACTACTGCTGAAGGTTCGGTACGAAGGCACGCAAGTGTGGTCCCAACCGCCAGGTCCAACAAAGTAAGTCCCCATTACACAACTTGTCCACATATCATGTAATGGTGAACCAACGATATTATGGGGACGCATTAACGACGTGCCTTCTAAAATACTCTTGGGTGCTGGCGCGACAATGTCCCTCGTAAAGACTTCGTTTCTCCGACGTTTGCCCCAACACCCACCACTAGCACCCGCTCACAACGTCTTGACGCCAGCTAACGGTGTTAAGATAAGAGCTTGAGCTTCCATGCGCTTACAGGTGAATCTTGGAGATCTTAATGTCCACCATCGGTCCCTTATCTGTGCTCAGATAACACGGGATCTGATCCTCGGTGTGAACTTTATCCCCTTACATTCCACCCTCATAAACGTCGCCCACACCCAGGTTACCATTGTCTCAGTCTCCATACCCTTATATTTCTCTCAACGACCGACCTCCTCTGAGTCAAACATAACCGTGTCCTCTATTCTCGATTGAGTTTTGGTCAATCCATCTGCTTCTGCTCTCATTTGGGAGCAAATGTGTCAGGTAAAGGGGATAATCCAGGACGCACCGATGCTGTTCAACACCATATTGATACTAGCAGTCACCCACCCGTGCGTCAGTTACCCAGATGGATCCCCGTTCACTATCAACCCCAGTTAGATACTTCAATATAAGCATGTTGAAAAAGATATCGGCAACTCTAAAGAATAGGAGTCCAAACCGAAACGACCTACGAACGCACAAACGACCTTGAGAAACCAATCAGCTGACTCTGTTGTTTCTAGAAGTAATTATGGATGCTCTACACCTTTTGCGCTGCAAATTCGCTCCGGATCTTGTTTTTGATTACTGTTTGGATAAGGGACTGATTGCAAGGTCGAAAATTTGTCAGTGTGAAGGTGATATGCGTATACAAAAATACACAAACTGCATTGATGGGTTTGTGTACAGGTGTAATGAGTGCCGGAGGAGAAAATCAGTTCGAGAGGGTATGTCGTCCTTTTTTAGTTTACAGATTCCTTAGGCACTTTCTTCTCAAAGTCTAAATTACCCTTAACAAAAATTTTAATGATCTGTAATTTCTGGATACTGAACAGACCAGTTACAGCAACAGCTTATGAAAGGGAAAATTCAGAAGTGTCTGCAGTGCAGTGGTACCAATACTGCAGAGACGTTTGGTCCTGGAAAATGAACAGCCTAACTCAAGTTCTTGGAGGAGTTGGCGTAATCGTTCAAATTGATGAGACCGTATTAATAAAAAGGAAATATAATCGCGGCAGATTACGAGCAAACCAACAATGGATATTGGGTATCTATGACACCACCCTCCGAAAAGGATATATCGAGGCGATTCCTAATCGCTGTGCAGGTGTATTATTGCCTATTATCCAGCGCTTAGTGCTGCCTGGGACCACTTTTCACACAGACGAATGGAGCAGTTACAGTCACTTGTCGAATCTCGGGTATATTCATCATGTAGTCAACCACACAAACGGTTTCCACAATCCTCTGGATGGAACTCATACTAATTCAATCGAAAGTTTCTGGAGTCACCTGAAAAACGGATTAGATTGGTGAATGGATCTAGAAATCTAATGATATACAGTCATCTTGATGAGTTTATGTATAGAACTTGGTTTAACATCAGTATGAAGACACCTACGAGAAATAAGGAGCTTTTTTGCAACATATACGAGAACGTTATCCATTGTAACTATTTTTTAACATTGCATTACTTTCATATAAACGATTTTTTAAAATTATGCACCGCTTCTTTGAGCCTTCTGATTGGCCGAAGTTGTCCTTGACAAGGTCGTTTGTGCGTTCGTAGGTCGTTTCGGTTTGGGCTGCTATTCTTTAGAGTTGCCAAGATATCGTTGTACCCTCATGCTTTCCATGGATGTCACCCATTGTCTTAGTAAGGAAGAAGGACGGCACTCTCCGAAAGTGTACTGGCTGTCGCAAGCTGAATGCCATGGCAAGACGCGACTCTTCCCCCATTTCTTGCACTGATGCAACTCTCAATGCGCTTACCGGCTCCCAATAATTCCCTACCTTAGGTCTAGCATCCGGGTACTGGCAAGTAGAAGTGCATTCAAACGATTGTCCTAAGACTGCATTTATACTTCCGACTGGTCTATATGAATTCCGAACAATGCTCTTCAGACTATGTAGTGCCTCCGCCACATTTCAACGTTTGGTGCAGGTAGTTCTTGATATATTGGTCCCAGATAAGTGTTCAATCTATTTCAGCAATATCAGTGTGAATGGCAAGTCCGTGGAGGATCACATTGATAATCTACGGACTGTCTTTACGCAGTTAAAAAAATGGCCTAAAGTTGAAACCTTCCAACTGCTCCTCTCCCCAGAGAGAAGTCACACTTTTGAAACAACACATCTCACCAGTTGGTATCCAAACAGACCCGGAGAAAACCCCTCTTACTGTAGAATGGCCTATACCCCAGTTTTGTAAAGAAGTTCTTAGTTTCCTTGGGTTGGCAACTTACTATCAACACTTCGTCCCGGTTTCGCTACCCTTGCATCGCCTCTGCATCGACCGACAGAAATAGGCCGTAAATTTTTATGGACTAACGAGTGCCAACAGGCGTTCGACGAGTTGAAGAAGAATTTAACGTCATCTCCTATTCTTGCGTTACGTTCCCAGACACGTCACCATTTGCTGGTTGTTCTATTTTGGACACGGACGCAAGTGCCAATGTTATAGGGGCTTTCCTCTCTCCAGTAGCGACTGATGGCCGACAGCGTGTCATTGCATGTGTCAGTCGTAAGCTATAAAAACGTGAAACACGGTATTCGACTACACAGAGGGAGACGTTTGTTCTCTTGCATTTCCTCAAACATTTTCGACATTCTATCATTGGTAACACCTTTCGAGTACACACTGACCACTGCGCTTTGCAATGGCTGCAGACATGCCTCGAACCACAAGGCTAGGTGGCTCGTTGGCAAGAACGTTTACAAGAATTCGATTTCACTTGCGAGTATCGCCAGTAGTCTCGACATGCTAACGCTGGTACCCTCTCTCGGTTGTCAAATTGTTTTTCGACAGTAAGTGCCGTGCTTAGCACGGGGATGGATGTCGACTGGGTCTTATTACAAGCAACTGATGCTGACGCAGAGCCTGTTTACTCCCGCCAACTTCATGGGAATGGTAAACCACCGAACAAGGAACTACGGGATTTATCCGACGCAATACAGTGTATCTGTTCTAAGTGGAGTTCGCTGCGACTGAGAGATGACATCCTGTTTATAGTGGAGCCTTGTCTTTTAGTCTCACATGTAAAATTTCAAGAGGTGATCTATCTTGTACGCAATCAAAAGGGTCATACTGGTCAACGAAAAACTGAACACACCGTCCGTCGTCGATTTGGCTGGCCGCTACTTCATCACGACGTCACTGAGTTCTGCCGCAACTGCACTACATGTGCCCAAATCAAGCAGCTTCCTCAAAAACCACGGTCACCCCATAGTGCTCACGTGAATCGAAGCCTCTAACCACTGAGTGCGCATAGACATCATGGGACCACATACAGCTTCGAGACGAGGCAAGAGATACGTCCTGGTTATTGTGGATTACTTCACCAAATGATGCGAAGCTGTACCATTGCAGCAGGAAGATGAAATGGCAGTCGGTCGTGAATTCATTGACACATGGGTGTCTCGTTTTGGCTGCCCACTTTATTTACACTCAGACCGAGGGGCTGCATTTTACTGCCACCTTATTTTCCACATATGTAACCCCTTGGGCATTCGGAAGACTCGCACTACATAATATCACCCCCAAGGAAATGGTGTAGTGGAACGGACGAATAGAACAATAAAAGACATACTTCGTGCCCTTCTTTGTCACACACCGGAAGACACATGGGACGACGTTATACCTCAATGCTTGCTCGCATATCGTTCCTCAGTAGACTTGTCAACGAGGTTTTCTCCTGTTCTGCTCCTGTCTGGTCACGAACTCTGCATTCCATTTGAAATCCAGACACTGGTGTTATCCTACGAAAGAACTGACTGTATTCCTTACTTTTGGGATCTTCGTAACCGCCTTGAGGTTGCCTACAGTCTGGCACGCACTCACCTACAGTCCCCTAGCAAGCACCAGAAGAGTATCTATGATCGGTTCATGCACAACGTCTATCAGGACTCAGTATCAACATCAACCCGGGCTAATATATGTGTAAAACTTGGGCACTGTGGTATTAAGTAATTCCACATTAGTTTGTTTATTAGATATATCACACAGTGAAACAGTATTATTTACTGGATAATCAACCCGCGCTTCCTGATTTTGCTGTTGTACACGCTCTTGCCAAGGCCTCATTCTGGTTCTCTTCATGGTGTGACTGCTTCTCATTGTGTTACAGTAAATATAGTAGGTTATTCATAAAATAGTAAGATTGTTCGTGTTCTGAATGTACATTATCTCATACTGATTTTTATTCAAATATCTAGTCAATGCCACACATGTAAATAAATGAAGGAAAAAAGTTGTGTAACTTGGTATGATTATGAGCAATGGTTTGTGTTCGAAACGTCATCAGTTAATATTACTGCATAACACTGTGATTTATTGAGATAAAATCTTATCCATAATGGAGTTATACTCCACCACAGTGCCCAAGTTTTATACCTATATCATGACTTTTTGAGGCAGACTTAGGTTCAAATTCTCAAAATCTGCAATGCGCCCAAAGTTTTTTGCCCCAAAAAGCCTGCAGTGCGCCCGAAAAAATGCTAGCTGGGCAGGAATGTCAGCAAGTTTGTCTATGATAATTTCTGCAGTAATGGTGACTTTAAGTGGTTCACCATGGCATTCATGTGCAGTTAAGCATTTGAGCAGTGTCATTACTTCAATCCACATACATGTACATAGCCTAGATTTACTACGTCGAAACGTTATCCAATCCTCATAATTCACTTAGTAAACTGCATCAGTGTGAACAGTAGGTAATGCTATGCACTTGCATTTTATGTTCAACAGTTTCCATGCTTTCCCTTAAAACCCTTCAACCCAAAATAATCCTCGTCCCCACCAAAATTCTCCCTCTCATGAACCCCGTAGTTCCGACATAACCCACAAATTACCATCCGAAACCACAATTTATCTCAAAATTGAACGATTCTTTTGTGTTCGAAAGGATATTCTTAAACCTGGTAATTTCCACTCCTAAAGGATTTTAATGCATTGACTTCATGACCTCTGTCCAATAGGTGGCGAGCATTTGCAGTACTAAGCAGTTTGGCACATTTCAGAATTAAATCTCTTGGAATATGCTCAAATATGCTTTCACAAGTCCTTTCTGTTCGTCCGATGTATGTGCAAAAGCACATACACACATTTGGAGGTAACATTAAAGGCGAACTTGTCAACCTCAGATAGTGTCAGTGGGGGTTTTATTCAGTAAATTGTGAGTAGTCTAGCAGCTAGATAGGTTCGCTTGAGGGCAGCATGTATTCTGTATTTGGTTCTTTGAGATTTGTCATCACCTTTGAATTCAAGATTATGAAAGACTGGTTTCTCTTCTACTTTAGCAAACGTTTCTGTTGTATTCGCTATCCTCTTGTGTTTATCAGTGAATTTTTGAGGATGTCCACTGCGCCATAGACACTTTTCAACGATAGAAGGCTCATCATCAAGTTTTTCTTTCCAAAAAAGTTTTCCCAGGGAGATAGAACAATGTCTTCACCAGACCTTTCTTGTAGCTGACTGGATAAAAACTACTGGAATTCAGATATAGTCCATTCCAAAATTCTTTATGATGAAAATATTTCTGGGGTATATTTCCATCAGGAGTGCGTAGAAGTCTGAGATCCAGGAAATGAAACTTTCCATCTTGTTCATATTTCATGGTGAAATTTATATTCATATATATGTCTTTTTAAATATGTCAAGTACATGCTAAAGCACATGCATTGGACTAACAGAAAGACAAATTTGTGAATGCATATCTGAGCATATTCCAAGAAACGTTTGAGAGGTTAAGTGCTTAGTATTGTGATTGTTTGCCGCCTTTTGGACAAAGGTCATTGTGCATTCACGACAGATCCAGGTTGCTACATATAACTGAAGTGGTTGTGATTAAACGTTTTTAACCAAATTTCTACTTTGTTTGTTTTCTTAATTAGATTAGAGTTAGTCACTTATTTGTATTCCTTCAGTATTACCCAGCTCATAAATTTTGTGATCATTATGTTTGGTTGACTGTTACTGTCATTGCGTGTCAGCACTATATTTTGAAATTACATACAGTAATGAAATTTAAAACTTAGAATCAACCTGATTCAGTGATTTAGGAGAAAATTAGGTTGATTTCGTGGTTTATGTATCATTGAGATTATGCCAAGTTCACTTAATAATAACATATATTTCGTATAAACGGGTAAGCTTACATGAAATGCACGCCATTTTTACAGGCACGATCAATTATGTTACAAATTACAATTGTCAATTAGCATAGATTAGCACTTTTTCAAAAGTTTGAATTGCTGAATTATAGTGCAAGCAATCAGAACAAATTCTTATAAATGTTAAATTGTAAACCCTTCACTAAGGTCACCATCGAAGTTGAGCGACATCACAAACTTCGTTCCATTTCCTGATGCTAGTTATGGCCAATCGACAAACAACATTTGAGTGAGTGCTATGCCCCCACGTGATTGAACGCTATTTCAGGAAGAGAAGAAAATCCTGCGCAGCTGCAAAGTGGTATAAAATGCAATTATGAATAATACATTATTGGAAGTATATTTACAAGACAAATACAAGAAGAAGCTATAGAGTACTTGAAATGATAGTACACATTTGCAATGTATGATGCTAATCATATTGTTCTTACCATGGAACACTATGACGTTTTCGATGAAAATATAGTTATTCTCAAACATGGGTGTTGTTGTTATGTTTTTTTCTTCATCAGAGCAACCGAACTTTATGCGAGCGAAGAGTGTGAATGAAAAGAGTAAATTTCAGCTTTATTAAAGGCCTAGGGAGTTGAGATAAAATAGAGTATAATGGTAATTAGATGAAAAGATCGTCGTGAAGTATATAAGCGACATTTCAGAGAGAAGTGGCTCTAAAGATTAGAACCTGTTGGATATGCTGAACTGTAAGATGCCTGGCGAACTTGTGTATGGCCCATGGGGTAGCATCTTGACAAAAAGCTGAGCAGGCTTGTAAATTTTAGGAGCAAAGCCGTTTTTTTAATTTATTTTTATAACTTAGATCTGTGCAGTCATAGTTTAAAAAATTTTTTTTATATTGAGGATCTCAAATCATGTTTAGTTCTGGAGCTGTCAGTAAAATGCATGTTGTTGTCCTACAGATCGGAGCGATTCACATTTGTGACCACCACCAAATCTGCTGATCAGCATGCCTCACCCTCCCTCCTTTTTGATATTAAGCTGAGACCTTTTACAATGACTGCAGTTGTAATATTGCATTGCTTTGACCCCGTCCCAGTCATACAGTATGCTGCACATTAATAGATTTCTACATGGTGCATACCTACGTGTTTGAACATAGTATCTATACTTCTGGGTTCTGGTACCGTTTGTTTAATCTTTGTATTAACAAATTTCTATGTTCATGGTTGACTTAACGTCAAATCTGTACTTCGGTTAGTAAGCACACTAAGAAAGGTAGGCAGTTAACAGTAACTAACAAAAAGTCGACGTAGCATTAGAAATTGTGCTGTTTACATCAGCATTGAGAGTTAGTCAGCAATAAACTAGCTAGGATTATTGTTGCTGGTTTGTTTCTTCGCGACTCAACAGGACGGCACATTTTTGTCTACTTTGTTGAGTTAAATTTATTGTACGGACATATTTTACTATCCCGCCAACTGAGCATATTTGTTTTGAGGAATTAAAACCTTGGAATGAACTATTGCTGTGTGAAAATCACAGATCAGAGGTGATGTGGGTATCAAGTGAATCTCAATGCTTTACTTTAGTCGTTCAACTGTTCACTTAACATGGGTCGTGTGGAATCGTTTGGCTGTTTGTATTTGCAAAATGCTCTCAGTACGTTTCATTTTACCTCATTACACTAAGAATCCTTCATGGCTCAAGATTGAATAATGGAAGAAAACTACTTTTATCCATTGGTGCGTTGAGAGATGCTTCAACTATTGATGAAAAAGTTTTGGAAAATATAAGTATTCTTTCGCTACTTGTCTTATCCTAAACATGTGATATGGTGACAAGTGTGCGCTACCGCTCCTCTTTTTTCACATCTGTTCACCGGTTTGTTTGTTTGTTTATTTTGAAAATTAGATTACGTTTTCTGGGTGGAGAAACACAAAATTTATATGATTTCACCAATTTGAACCATGTCATCATCGGAGGATTATTCACATATGCCATTCCCCCCTAACTGGGAGCCTAGACTTGATCCTCAATCAGGAAATTGGTTTGTTGATATTGTTTACCTCTAAATTGGTTTAATTATTAGGTTTTATATTAATCATGAAGATAAAACAACAAGCTGGGATGATCCAAGACCTGCGTATTACAGAGATGAAGAAATTAGGCGTTTAGTATGATTACATTATAAATTTGGTGGAGATATAACTCACTCCGTTTAGAATACCTACGTTATGGGTTTTGGCGATCGACAGGATTTAATTGGGGAATATTTTGATGTACCTGAAGATTTTCATAAGTGAGTAGATATTCTCATGTATTACAAATTTTCCGTTAGATTTTTATGATTTTGTAATGTGCTTAACGTTTGTTTATCTGTGATTAATTTTGATCACCTAATAAAAAATTAAATTGGTTGGAGAGTAAGTAAACGCCCAAGTTTGATGCCTATATTTTTCGCTGTTTCTTTTCCTACTTTGCATTGCACTGTCATCTAAACAAGTAAGCTTGATGCGGGTCACGGATCACACAATGACATCAAGTAACAGTGTTGTATCAACTGTAATATCCTCTCAACAGTTGTATTACAGCATCCATTAACATTTCACATAAGAATATCTTCTTCCCGTGGAACCTGACGTTTTACTCTCATTCGCTTTCCCCTTCTCCACGCTTCACTTTTTCCTGCCATCTTAACATGATGGTTATCAGTCATTAGATACTGCTGTACTTTCAATGTTAGTTCCCCATGTGTCGCCGGATAGCTCTGGAATGTGTGTGAACCAGTCAATTATAAGTATGTTTGTCCTTTCCAGCTGATGCAGATCTTTTTAAAATTCGACGATCATCTTTTGATATGCGCTGGGTGGATTCTTCATATGACGTATTTGTTCATTTCTTTGAATATTCCCATTTATGATAATAGAACAAGACATATAAGCGAACAATATTGTTTTCAATTAGATCTTCTTCAGGCTTTACTCTAATTTACATAGACTTATATATAAAAATTTTTAACCAATGACGGTGATTTTGTGGATCAAATAATAATAATAATGTGGTAAATGTTTTGAACGAAATTAATAACGATGATTATAATGATAACAAAATATTGATAATAAGGTTTATGCAGCTGATAAGAATGACAAAGGTAGTATATGTATATATGTGTATATGTAGACAATTCAATAAATAAATAAATTAGGTCAAATCTTAAGAGGTGAAGTGGAACGATAATCAGAGTTTAAATAAATATCATAAAAGTACGAAGGAGATGGAAGATAAGAAAGGGTGGGAGGGTTTTGAATAGAATTCACCTAGGCCAAGGGAGAGACAAAGGTAGAACAAACTTCTTTTGTATGCAAAGACTAGGATTGTTCTCTCGAATTAATTCCCATAGCTTCGGCTAAGTGTAAAAGACGGGTTCTGATTCCGTTCGAAAGACTCGATGGAATGCGATAGATAACTTTGAAGGCACTATTTTTGTCCACTTGGTGACCGCTATCAATCAAATGAGCCAAAATAGAACTTCGTATGGATTTTATTTGACCTTTTCCGAACCATGAAGGAAGATGCTCATTAATGCGTTTGTTAAGCTGTCTAGTTGTTCGCCCTATATAGCTTTCTCCACAGGAGCAACTAAATTTATAGATACACATCGAAGTGGCACAGCTAGGTAGCTTATCTTTCACTTGAGCAATCAAAATTGGTCGGCTGGAAAATGACAAACAAAGGGTGGCGGCAGTATAAGTCCGTTTTATCGCTCTCGATAATCTCAGATGTAAGACTTCGCTAGCCACGTCCCCATTAAATTGCAGTTTCATGAACAGTTGTTTCTTTTTAACTGTTGTCAGTTTTTCTTTATTGTACCTGGTATTCATGTGTCTCCTTACAAATCTACTAGGATAACCCATTTGGACCAACGTATTTTGGATGTATCCTAGCTCATTTTCTAGGGAGTCATCTGTACAGATACGTCTTGCTCTATTCGTGAGGCATCTGACCAAATTGATTTTGTATCGGATTGGTACAAAACTGAGGAAATGTGTATATTGTCCTACAGATGTAGGTTTTCTATAGACATCTCTCTTGAGTGAACCATCCTCTCTTCTGCTCAATTGGACGTCAAGGAAATGTAGTCTACCATCATGTTCTTCTTCACAAGTGAAGATGAGCGATGGATGTGCATCATTAAACTTTTTTAACATTTCATTCTTGTCAGCTTTCACATCAAGAATAATAAACGTATCATCAACATAACGAAAATAAGAATCAGTTTTCTCTATTACTTGTCTCAATGGACCATTTTCAATCTTGGCAAGAAAGAAATCTGCCAAAATTGGCCCCAATGGAGAACCCATGGCAATACCGTCGATTTGCCTGTAGTAAAGGTTGTTGAATGTGAAGTGTACATTCATAGTACATCTTAAAAGCAACTCTTTCAGACTAATAACTGGAATACCGATGTCGATCTGTTTTTCTAGTATCTGTTGGCATATGAATTCCACAGTCTCCATAAGTGGTACATTGGTAAACAGTGATGCTACATCTAAGGAAAGCATTTGCTTCCCATTTACATTGATATCATCCACGTTAGCAATAAATTCAAAAACGTCTTTAACACTATGATTTACTACCATCTTGTGTAACGGTTGGAGGAGTTCACCTAGCCACTTTGCCACTCCATAGTAGGTGGAATTAAGATATATCTGGGACTGGGTGAAGAGGAAGTCCTGGTTTATTTACTTTGGGCAGACTGTACTGCAAGTACGGTCTACCCAAAGTACTTCCTCTTCGCCCAGTCCCAGATATATCTTAATTCCACCTACTATGGAGTGGCAAAGTGGCTAGGTGAACTCCTCCAACCGTTACACAAGATGGTAGTAAATCATAGTGTTAAAGACGTTTTTGAATTTATTGCTAACGTGGATGATATCAATGTAAATGGGAAGCAAATGCTTTCCTTAGATGTAGCATCACTGTTTACCAATGTACCACTTATGGAGACTGTGGAATTCATATGCCAACAGATACATACTAGAAAAACAGATCGACATAGGTAATCCAGTTATTAGTCTGAAAGAGTTGCTTTTAAGATGTACTATGAATGTACACTTCACATTCAACAACCTTTACTACAGGCAAATTGACGGTATTGCCATGGGTTCTCCATTGGGGCCAATTTCGGCAGATTTCTTTTTTGCCAAGATTGAAAATGGTCCATTGAGACACCCGTGTCGTTCGCCTGTAGTTGAAACAATGTTGTCTAGTTAAGTGAACGAAGTGAGTAACTATGGCTCTCTTAAGATAGCCAAATGCTTCGTCGTGTATACACCCCAACCCTTCCACCGTCACGAAAATACCCTGTGTACAGTGCGAGGAGTGAAAATCTCCGACCATTATTCTTAGTCTTTTTACTGTTTCTTTCTGCCATCTAATCGCCCGTCGCCCAGGAACGCCCTGTATACGGTAATAGAGTTGACACTCCGTGACGATCGTATGCTTTTCTAATATTGGCGTTTGTATAAAATTCTCCCCTTCGCTGCCTAGTACTCAGCGACTACATTCCGTCCGGTGCTCTGAGTATCAACATGAAGAAACTCATCTGGACATGTGTAATGACGGAACGGAGAATTGAGTTACACGCGGCAGCCACCTTGTGGCACTGGCTGGGGAGGGTTCATTATACTGGATCCAAGTTAAGCACTACCGCAAGCATGAACAATATTCGCATTTGGCTACTCAGCTGAAATAGACGGTGCGGGAAAACCCTCGTGCTTAATGTGGACTGGAGGGGTCCAGGCGACCGAGACCACCGGGAGTTGGAGTGAGAGGGCTTGGATCGGTCGACTTATTTCTCACAGTTAGCGGGTGGCTGTGGATAACTCGGTAACCCCATCACGGATTGCTGGAGGGCCATGACGAACAGTCAGAAACGGTGTTCATGCAGTGAGAAGTGGTGGTCGGGATCTTGTGTCCATGAGACAGGATGAACTGTCTGCAGTGCACAATGGTCCCTGGTTAGGAGTTCCCGTTCTGTGATGCACAACGGGCAATCACATGGGTTGTTATGATTCATAAGAAACATCTTTTCAGAGAGATATTGTATTGATCACTGGACCAACTGGCGTCATAAATGAAGGTTCACAATCTACCCCTCGGCTCGGGTGTCGACAACATCGGCAGTAATCACAGGCGACGTGGGTAAAACTCCATCAGTGAACGAAGTGACCTCTTCCAAAATTATTCCGTTGATGGCGATCGATGCCTGTTGGGAATCTTCATTACCTCCGTCTTCTGTGTGTTCACCTGAAGTCCTGTCTTTGTTGTTTTTCGCCTGTAAGTCTTCGAATTTATATGACATGTGACAAATCGTCCAGTCTTCTTATCGGTCCAATGTATTCCTGTCTTCTCGCTCCCCACTCACAGTCTTCCGTATAGTCCAGTCCACCACAATTAGGAATATCATTGGTGAAAGTAGGCACCCTTGTCTTACTCCTGTATTCACTTCAAAGTCTCCTTCGGTGAGTTTTCCGTTGTGGATCACCTGATACCTGCCATTGTCATATAGCCAGCTGTTGAATGAGGCTGATACAGATTTGTAACGCTCCATAGTGTTGAAGCAGTTTCCAAACTAATTCGTGGTCAGCGCTGTTGAAGGCCTTTTCAAAATCGATGAAGTTGAGGTAGAGAGAGAGAGAGGTTTGACTGCCATTCTATGCGTTGCTCTATGGTGATGCGTAGAGTTTACATTATTCAAATGTGAATCCATTAAACATACTTTTCATGCTCCAATTTCTAGATGAAAGATGACTGTTGGCCTTTGTTTGTTTTGCTTTATTGAGAAAGAAATTTATTTGTGTTTTTACCTTTACCTTTGTTTCATTTTCAGACCACATAAACAACAACATTCAAAAAACAACAATCCAAAGTCCGGTGGTGAGTTAAGCTTTACGGGTTTCATTTTTGCATCTAAAAAATATATCTGCCTAGTTGCACTTGTATGTTCTCTCTCACAAACAATTACTTAGATCATAATCACAAGATTCTAGTCAACTTATGGTTTGACTAATATTTGTTGATTAATTAAAGTATGTGTACTGTAATTCACCTGATAATATTTCTTCATTAACTAATAATTATATTTTAAGTGACAAAAGAAAGGAATTTTCAAACTAATTACAGAAAAATCCACTTGATTGTAGCAGAAATTTTGTACTAAATTGTCTCTCTTCAGTTACACAGTTTCCATCTTTATTATGGTTATTTTAATCATTGCTCTAGACCAACTTTGCATATAAGCTATAGAATGTGGTAAGGAAAAGAATAGAATACTTTCTGAGATATAGGCGGCTTCTAGACTGAGAAAAAATATATATATACTCACATTTACATTCTTTACGTAATTACTGGTACTAACAAGTTACTTGATTAGCATTTCAAGGTCAGAATCGGTAGATAAAGCAGAATAGGCGTTCAGTACTCTTAAATCAATATGGAGATTTACAATATCCAGTACAAGGAACAAAATCCGAATTTTCAACACCAATGTCAAGTCTGTACGTATTTATATAAGCTTCAGAAACTTGAGGCTTAACGAGGATCATTTCCAACCGATCTTTTTTCTCACCAACGGATTGATTGGTGACGAAATCTCGGCATGGATCCAAAAAGCTCGGGCTCCTTTCGCTAACTTACACCGTCTCTGGCGTAGGCGTGACATCCGGCTGTCAACCAAGGGAGGTGTATACTGCTCAGCAGTTCGCTCCGTCCTTCTCTATGGCTCTGAAACATGGCCAATACGAGTTGAAGACATGAGAAGGTTGACTGTTTTTGATCATAGATGTCTGCTATCTCTTTCTCACGTTAGGTGGTATAATAAGGTAAGCAATGTTGACGTTAGGCGTAGAATGTTGGGCAAAGAGGGAAAATCAGTCGACGAGGCTATAAAGTTAGACTGAGATGGCTAGGTCGCATGCTGCGCATGCCTAACCATCGCCTCCCCCGACGGGCATTAATAGCTGATATAGGTGCAGGTTGGAAAAGAGTAAGTGGTGGCCAAACAAAAACATGGCATCAATCCATGAAATCCCTGACAGTTAAACTGAGTCAGGTAGGGAGATGCAGACTTCCGGGTTGGGGCCCGCCCTCGGGACTCTAAGAATCAATGGCTGGAGACACTAGGTGACATGGCTCAAAATCGTTGTCAGTGGCTTACGCAGATGTATTCAGTCTCTGTATTCTTTCATATTCCTTTCTACCATTACTCATTCTGTTTCACTCTTATACTTGTCTAAAGTCTATTGATTCTCTTCACTCATTTTCTTGTCCACCTTTGTGTTCTATTTGGAACGTGGCAACTCGAACTGCTGCACTTCGGTGCCAAGTTCTATGTTGAATCCAGACAGACAGACCAACAGATCTTTGCAGACTCTCATCAACAGCTGCCTACACTCGTTATTGAAGATCAGATAGCCGGCCAGTAAAATTAAGCAGTAAGAAATTTGGGCAAGGATCTGTTACCCAACAGATATGCTGCAGAGAATGGGGATAGATTGGACACACACTGAGGAAGTTGTTGTGTGACAACACCCGCTGCTCAGGTCCTCAAGGGGAACCCTAATGGGAAACAGCGAGTCGGGCTTCGGTCCGACTGTGACATGGAGGAGACAGCAATGAGGAACAGGTGAGAGCTTATGGGCGATCATGAAGCAAACAGTTGGAAAAAAAATCGAAGGTTGCTATTAAAGCCCTGTGTTACGCTGGACACCCAAGGAAATAATGTCTGCTGCACTTTTCACCTGCATTCATGTTAGCCCATACTGATTCAACTCCTCTTCAAACGATCTCCATATATTAAAATCAAAATTTACACATACCTTCCTCTCATCTTTTCTATGTTGTTTCACAAGAATCGTTCACTTCTACTCATCTCTATTAAATTCATCATCTCCGCTATTCTATATTCTTGCAGATGATATACATAATTATATCTGTACGTGTATACTACTTATAAATCCTGTCAGTAACACACGCCTCATACAAAATGTTGACATTAAATGGGAAAATTAACAAGTTTTCAGTCCACTGCAAATTGTTAACAGGCTGTTTGCACATTGTTTATGACTTAATGTGGATAAAATGAAGTCGTTTACAGATTCAAACATCAGACAGTTAATTCAGGTGGTTTTCATTCAGACGAAAAACATCCATCAGTTCACTGAAACAACAGTGTTTATGTCGCCGTGTCAAACTCTATTAAGCAAAAACCAAAACAGCATATTTCAACCACTACACTAACACTAACAAGTGTTAATGTAAAATGTACCTGGCAATAATTCCCTTTTAACTTCATAAATCTACACGAATCCCTAAGAATTGAATACACATACTAGCTCATGACCATTTACTTTCATTTTCATTACTCAATAGATGATCGTTCCATTGCCAGTAAAACACAACGCGGTCGAAGTGATACTGGTAGAGAAAATTCATCATCAAGAATAAAAAGTCATTCTAAACGAAGAACCACACCGACGAATAAGCGTGAATCCAGATCAAGTGTTTGTTCACAAAATGATAGTGAATCGTATCCTTCTTCAACGTGTGTATCACCAGTTACACACAAGAATTTGAAACGTCTCTCGAATGCATTAAAAAGTGATGATGACAGTCATGATCACCATGGTAATGATGATGATAATGATAAACCGATCGAAAAGGTGGTGAACATCAGCCCAAAGCAAATCGATGAAGAACTACCTCGCATTGAGTAAGTAACTTCCTTTGTAAAATAGATCCTTTTTTTAAATTATTTTAATACAGTTATTTTATCCGAAAATGTTGATGGTAGTAAGTAGGTATTCAAACTGATGAAAACATTAATTTATGTAAGTTGAAGAGAACCAATAACGTATTAATATAGAGTCCCGAAGCCTCTAACACCCTAGACATTCTTTTGGCACCATCACAGTGTCTGTAAGTATGGTATGTGCTTTGCACCGTCTAAGTGCAAAGTTCTGTTACAAGATTGGCAGGAGCCTGTACCTGCACTCACTCTTGCGGGTGAACCGCTTGAAGTTGTTGATAAGTTCGTGTATCTGGGTAGTTGTGTTAGTGCTGGCGGAGGCGTGACGGATGAGATTTCCAACCGTATAATGAAGGCTAGGGTGGCATACATCAACTTGAGCCACCTCTGGCGCCGTCGCGACGTTAGCCTCGGGTATACAATGCTTCGGTGCGGGCTGTCTTGCTCTACGCCTGTGAAACCTGGCCTCTCCGAGCTGAGGATGTGCGGCGACTCTGCGTGTTCGATCATCGCTGTCTCCACAGGATTGCTTGCGTCCGATAGTATAATCGCGTGAGTGATTCTGAGCTCCGGCAGTGTGGGTTTGGACACAGTGGAGATCACCATTCATTGAGTGTCGTCATCTGGGAACACCGGCTCCGGTGGCTTGGACATGTGCTGCGAATGTCATCCCAGAGGCTTCCGTACAGGTCTCTGTTCGCTAGCCCTGGGACGGGATGGAAAAGGCGGAGGGGTGGTCAGTGCATGAGGTGGCGTCGTGGGATGAAGGGTGTTTGTGCTAGGTTAGAATAGGTTGGTGCGTCACGACCCCCTAGTTGGGGTCCGCGAGATAGCTCGAATCGATGGCTCGAAACGTTATCGGATATGGCCAAGAATCTTAATCAATGGCGAACGTGTTGCAATTTCCTTCTTTCTTCCCTTCCTGATGATAGCTGTCGTATACTGTTTGAACTTGTTAAGTATGACTGTTTTCCTTCCAGACGAAGTTCTTTATCCGTTCTTTACTCCTATTTTTTTACTTTTGATCTATGTTGTTTTATTATTATTGTGTGGCGCATCTCTCTTGGTGCCATACTGTACCAAGTTTTTTTTTGCGTTTAAATAAATAAATAAAAATAAACAGGAATATATCTTCCAACTTTTCTACAATACACTCATCGATTGAACTCTAAGATTTCTTTCTAACTTCATCTCAAGGCTTGCTATGAATAGTAGTCGTTGGAATTAGGACTCAACTTCCAAACAGTTGGTCACAGGTTCGAACCCTGCCCCAACCCTCCAAAAATTGGACAGCTGAGAGTGAGTACCATAAGCCATTACATAAAAGGTGTATGGCTCGTTAACAACTGTACAGAAAATTAGCAATCAGCTGCTGAGTGACATTCGAAAACATACACTAATTTCTAAATAGACCACCCGATTACTTCTCAAGTGTTGGTCTGCAGTTTTCGGCATATAAACAATATCGCATCTAATTTTCTCACTACATGCTACAGGGAGTAATAATTGAAAACAAGGCATTTACATTGATAATATTGTTAAATTATTATTATTATTATTTCCTTTAATTCCTAGAGGAACATAGGGCTTCAGCCGTGCGTCTCCATTGCGTTCGGTTCTCTGCTAGAGTCTTCACCTGGCTCCAAGTCTGTCCACACGTTTTCATCTCCTCTTCACATGACCTCCTCCAAGTCACCCTTGGACGACCAACTCGCCGCTTCCCTTTCGGGTTCCACTCGAGGGCTTGTCTAGTGATGTCACTTGATGGTTTCCTCAGAGTATGGCCAATCCATCTCCATTTCTTCCTGCCTATTTGTTTCACAATCGGTTCCTGGTTGGTTCGCTCCCAGAGATCTCTGTTGCTGATCTTTTCTGGCCATCTGATCTTGAGTATTGAGCGAAGACAACTGTTAATGAAGGTCTGTAGTTTGTTTGAGGTGCTTTTTATGACGCGCAGTGCAAGTCTCTGATCCGTATAGTAGCACTGACTGACTTCACATTGGAGTTGAAAATCCGGATCTTATTTTTGATGCTGAGTGCTGTTGACCTCCACACAGACTTGAGAGTAGTGAAAGCTTGTCTTGCTTTTCCGATTCTTGCTTGGAATATTTTTAAATAAAAATATGAATATAAAATGAAACTGAAAATATTAACAACAATATTATAATGAAAGAAAGAAGAGAAAGGGCCCTTAACGTAGTGTTTCTCAGTAAATCAGTAGTGTCATGCCTTACACTTTTTCTCGTCACATAAAATGTGTGCCAAAAAAGGTATTGTAGAGTTTTTATACTTAGTCAGTAGAGCATAAAGCCTTTTATAATTCCTTCTAGTCCTACTTGATGAGATGCAAGGAGAAAATGGTGTGTATGCAGAGGAAGATGCTCAGGGTCTGACAAGATAATATTTACTAATTTCTTGCACGAGTCCATGTATCTATCCCTACTGACAGCTTTTAGCGCCCTCCGTAAGCTAACGAAGTCTTTCCTAGGTATTCCAGGAAATATTAAGTGGTGTAGCAATAAAGAAGAATAGGTAGAGCACAAGAATTAACAGACTTTAAAAGTGGAGACTTATACCAGATTATCTTAACTTCCTCTCGTAAGTGTCAGACGAAATATCTTTCCAGAAATTGACATGACTTGTGAAGACAAGGAAAGGTCAGAGTAAAGGCATAATCTAAGGTATTTAACATTCGACTTAGTCTCACCTTCAGTGCTATCCGTGGTACTAGAATCATGCAAACGAACCAGTTCACGTAAGTCATCCTTGCGTCTGAAATTGGAAGTGACAACCTGACATTTTGAAGGATTTAGCTTAAGGCCATTTGACAAGGAACTCAGACAAATACTTATTTTCGATAATACAACCACTGCAAAAGGACAGTGAACATATTGTAAAAGATTCATATGATTTCAAATAGAACACCGAGAAATTGATAAAGAAGACATTATGGTAAGCTATGATATAAACTCACTGTATCCCTAATACCTAAAGTCTTGATATCATTTCCATTTTACTAGAATCAGATACAACACTATCACAAAGATGTCCACTGGACACCAGTGAAATAATTAAGAGCTTAAAATTCTGTCCAGAAAGTAATTATTTTACATTTAAAGGAAATTTATATAGACAAACAAATGGTGTTGCTATGGGTTCACCAGTTTCCCCAATAGTCGCTGATCTTTTCATGAAGATTACATCTTCTCAAACATACTCACTCATAGAATATGGTTAAGATATGTAGATGATACTTTTGTAGTGCTAAAACGAGATCTACACAGTTCATTCTTGGAGAAAATAAACCATCTATCTCCCGGAATGCAGCGTACTTCAGAAGCAGAATCAGACGTCGGTGAACTACCATTTCTAGACTGCTTAGTTAGAAGGAAGGAAAACAGACATTTTAGTATATCTATGTATATCTATATTCAGGAAGAAAACCCACTCCAACAAATATTTAGACTTCGGATCATCACACCCCGTCAGCGCAAAAGTATCAGTTGTTTCAAGTCCTGTTAGACGAGCACACTCTTTGATGTCAACGGATGAGAAAGAAAAAGAAGAAGAAATATCAAACATTACTGAGACTCTTAAGCAAAATAACTACCCAAAGAACTTCATCAACAAAATCAACACTGACATTAAATATGGTTGAAGACGTATTCCGAAAACATGGACTTCAACAGTTGTCGTCCCATATGGAGCAGAGACGTCAGATGATATCAGAAGAGTACTCAGTAAGCTCGACATCAGAGTTTTCTTCAAAACATCAGCCACACTGCAAAACAGCCTTGTCCATATAAAAGACCAATTCCTTAAAGATTCTCTATCTAATTGTGTCTATAAAATAAAATGCTTGGAATGTGATGTGATATACATCGGAAAAACATCACTAGAGAGAAATCAAAATCAGAAGAAATGAACACCGTAGAGAATCTGTTCGACCACCAAGAAATCCAGTTGAACTAGAAAGGCTTGAAAAATCATCAGCCATAGATCTGTCTACTAGCTATAGAATCAGGCCACAAAATTGATTTTGACAATACTGAAATAATGCAGAAAAAGCATCTCAGAAATCACAAAGAACGTCTAATACCAGAAGCACTTCATATCAAGTAGAATCCAGACTGTCTGGATATGAATGATGAGCTAAAACAGAATTTGACCTGGTTACAACACCCCCCTCCCCCATGAAATGACAAAATCAACACGAATGTCATAAGCAATTTCATTATGTAAACACACATTGCTTTTACAATTTTACACACTTATCAAATCCAACAATCTACACCTGGTTTTGTTATCTTTACCAATGGGCCAACTTGACAACGCAAAAATAACCCCATGTTGAGGAACGATGATTAAGTTGTTATACATAAACTGAGATTTTGTAAATTCTGGTTTAAAATACTTTGATGAATCTATTAGCATTAAATAGCGAAACGTCAGGAAAAACAATATCGTTTTGTTTTTCATTCATTGGGAAATACAAAAAACCTTTATTATATGAATTCACATGAACCTTTCCTCTACTCTAATACATTAGATTTTAAAACTGTCATTTTATCCCATCCTATTGTATGGTTGTGTGTAATTGCATGTAGTGCTATGGTTGAACTGTTCTCCAGATTTCTTATCTTATTAGTGTCAACTAATCTAGATTTTGCTAGGTTTTCTATGCTCCACTAGTCTGACTGACCCTGTTCTACTACCTTGACTTAAGTATTTGACCTGACAACCGTTGCAGAGGTTTAGATAAACTAAATTGTTTTGTTTAATTGTCTCCACAGGATCCTTTAACCGACAGAGCTTGTATCTAATTGAGTTTCTGGATTTGAATGCCACAGTTTAAAAATCTAATATCACAGGGTGGAGGGAGAGATTGATAACAGCAGCTTTATTTACTGATTCAAATGAAGATACGTACAGTAGTAATGATTTAGGATGTATCCCGGTCATGAGGAAAATTCTACTACTACTACTACTATTACTACGATAAACGGGAAAGAATAGAGAAAACTGTAAAACGAAAGTTTCGAAGTTGTGTGGTTATAAGTGACCGATATGATTATGAACAATAATAAATTGTGTTCGACACTTTGTCATCTAGTAAATAAGACTGTTTCGCTGTTTGATATATCTGTTAACCGAAAATAATTTGGAAGATAAGCCAATTCGACAACTTTTTAGTCCTTTGCTGATAAACGTTTATTGTTTCTGTTCTATAGTGGTGTACATAAATCTCATTGAGCAATGTTGCCTGATATAACATTGTGTTGGATGAACGTTTGTGGTCTTCAAACCAAAAGCTGGCATCTGTCCATGCAGTCGTTGACTGTTAGTCCCATCCAGCCAATTGGGAAAGTTGTAGAATGTCTGTTTTGAGTCCGCGAGACACTAATAACGAATGAATCAAGGCTATTAATGATACGACTCAAAATCGTTGTAAATGAATGATATACATTCTTTCTTTGTGAACTTCTTCTTTGATCATAGGTGTCTGCGTTCTGTCTCCCGTGTGAAGTGGTATAATACGGTGAGCAATATTGGGGTTAGGCGTCGAGTGCTAGGTAAGGAGGGGAAATCAGTCGACGAGACTGTGAAATTACATCGACTGAGATGGTTAGGACATGTGTTACGTATGCCTAGTCATCGTCTTCCTCACCCGTCGGGCAATGTTAGCTGATATAGGGTCAGGCTAGAAAAGAGCTAGTGCGTGGTGGTCAAACCAAAACATGGCACCAGTCAATGAAATCCACAACAGTTAGTCTAGGCCACGTAGGAAGGTGTAGACTCTCCTTGTTGGGGTCCTCGGGACGGTAAAAACCAATGGTTGGAAACAATTGGTGACATGGCTCAAAATCGTTCTCAATGGCTGGTGCAGATGCATCCACTCCTTGTGACTTATGATTTCCAATAAAACTGTTTTGTTCTTCGTTATTACTATTCCTTTGTCTCACACCTCTGTTTACTGTCTATATTATGCATTTCTCCTACTTTCTTCTCTTGCTTTGTGTGCTACAAGGAGGGAGTGTGGCGACTTGAACTGCCGCACATATGTGCAAAGTTCTATGTCGAAAACAGACAGACAGACTTTGTGAACTTCTGGATTCATCCAGTTTTTATTATTCTCCATTTGCTTATTCTTTATCTCTTACATATCTGATCATTACTTCTTTGAATTTCGTTTCTCTGCCTTTCTTTGTAAGCTAAATGAAGTGTGGCAACTATAACCACTACAGTTTTTTGCTGAGTTCTATGTTGAAGACTCTGTCAGTATGATAAGGTTCTGATCATTATTCCCTTGGATTATGGGTGGAAAATATAACTTCAACACCACATATCCATTTTGCTCTGCATTCTGCTTCAGCTGACCCCACGGTTGCCCATAGGCCGTCAACTCCATTTCACCCTCTAAGCAGGCCCAACCCGTCGTCACCCATTTGAGTTCCACTCGAGAGCCAGGCGCTCAATGTCAACCAACTTTCTGCTCAGTATGTGTCCGAACCATTTCCATTTTCTTCTCCATAGTTGTTCGACGATGGGTTGTTGTTTAGTTCCTGACCATCTAATCTTCAGTGTGAAGCGAAGGCATCTGTTGATAAGAGTCTGCAGAGTGTCCTGTTGGAAATACTTATCGTAACGCACCAAGTTTCTTGCCCCCATTGAAGAACTGACTGACTTAACATTGGCGTTGAGTTCTTTATGCTGAGAGGTATGAATTAGAGAATGTAATAGTAAGTTATTAAAGTCTGTTAACAATCTGCAATGAACAAAAAGTATTCAATACAATAATTTCATTCTCATCATGTACAGTAGTCACATGTAAGTAATTATTATGTTCTTATCAGGTAGTTTAGTTTATTAAGTTCAACCTTTATTGTTCACTTTTTTTTCTTTAGTAAATTATCACTAGACAATCAACTTCACAGTACTGTAGCTACCAGCGACACAAGTAACCAATGTAAAGAAGAGAAAGTGAAGTCATCAGCTGACAAACAATCAATACCACAGGTAAGTATAACTATGTGTTGTTATGAATGAATTCAGACGGTTTCTGTTTCAATCGGCATATAATATATTAATGGAATGATTCTGATTTCAACCTGCCAATTGGGCTAGATTGTGCACATGCCATGAGAAGCCGAACATTTCGGTTCAGTTAATCAACGGGAAAAACAAAAATTGACCTATTCGCCAAAAAACTAAATACTACTGATTGGTTGAGATGAGTAGTAGTTGTAAAATGGTGCTTGCTAGTCATCAGCTAGATAGATTTGGTCTGAATACTGGATGCCTTTTTCTCTCATTTGGGGCGGTGCCCATCAGCGTTGTATACTACCCAGTTTGTATCACCTCAGAGAGGCGAATCAGTGTTCGAACCACCCGATTTCTGCCTGGCTTCTTAGACGAACTGGTGATAAACTCGGCCTCAAACGAGCGTAACGGGCGTCAGGTATTTAGATTGCAATGTGAAAAATTGATCTGAAAGAATAACAACCCCAGTCGCACAAGAGTTGACTCCCGCGGCCCAAGTTATCTAGTGAATGATAGCGTTTTGGTGTTTGAAACGATGGTTGACGAGGGGTTCGAGTCTCGATAGGAACACCATCACTCAACTGGGGAATACGCCTACAGCAGGATTCCACTGCTGCTAATCATTACCCACCAAAAGATACCTATATTGTTCCAGTGTTTAAACAATTGCAAACTAATCTGATGGTGTCGTTTGGCTGTCAGTTCTTGACGAAATCTACTTAAAATGGTTAGATTTGATCATATCCAATTAGCTTTTCTATTGTATATTAGGTATATCACACAGTGAAACAGTATTATTTACTGGATGACGTTTCGAACAAAATTTATTGTTCATAATCATATCAATTGTGATCACACGACTTTGACACTTGAGTTTTATAGCTTTCTTTGTTCTCCCCTTTTTGTCGTATGGGTAGTAGGATTTTCCAGATATCGGGGACAGGTGATGAATCATTCCTATTACATGTATTTGCAGTTGATTCGGTAAACAAAGCTTCTGTTATCAATCTCTCCCTATACCCTGTGACATTAGGTTTTAAAACTGTCATCCTATCCCATCCTATTGTATGGTTGTGTGTGACTGCATGTAGTGCTATAGCTCCCAATGTTAGATTGCAACGTAAAGAGGAAAGAAGATGGGAAGTTAAACACTAGTGTTTACAGGAAACCCACACACTCAAACAGATATTTGGTCTTCCAATCATCCCATCCTATGTCAGTAAAAATAGGATTGGTGAAATGTTTAAATGACAGAGCACAAAAATTAAGTAGTACCAAAGATAATCTAAAACAAGAACTGATACATATAAAAGAAGCCTTGAAACTTAATAATCACCCGGATAAATTAGTCAGGAAATATGTAAGGAAATGTAAAAATAAAATAAATAATGATAGTAGCGATAGTGATAATAACAATAATATTAATGACAGCACCAACAATAAAGAATCTAAATCATCGGTAGTAATTCCATACAAGGAAGGAACCTCAGAAGCCTTACGCAGAATTCTCAACAAGGCAGGAATGAAAACGGCATTCAAACCCACATACTCAATTAGAAACAAGCTTTGTCGGCTAAAGGATCCTGTTGAGCCTTTAAAACAAAACAATTTAGTTTATCTAATACCCTGCTGGAATGATTGTCAGGTCAAATACATAGGTCAGACTAGTAGAACAGGGGCAGTCAGTTTAGCTGAACATAAAAACTTAGCAAAATCTAGATTGGTTGACCCGAATAAAATAAGAAATCTAGAGAATAGTTCAGCTATAGCACTACATGCAGTCACACACAACCATACAATAGGATGGGATAGGATGACAGTTTTAAAACCTAATGTCACAGGGTATAGGGAGAGATTGATAACAGAAGCTTTGTTTACCGAATCAACTGCAAATACATGTAATAGGAATGATTCATCACCTGTCCCCGATATCTGGAAAATCCTACTACCCATACGACAAAAAGGGGAGAACAAAGAAAGCTATAAAACTCAAGTGTCAAAGTCGTGTGATCACAATTGATATGATTATGAACAATAAATTTTGTTCGAAATGTCATCCAGTAAATAATACTGTTTCACTGTGTGATATACCTAATAAACAAACTAATATGGAATTACTTACTACCACAGTGCCCAAGTTTTACACATATATTAATATAGCTTTTCTATTGTACTTCATTAAGTTTTGTTAACTGGTACTTGTACATGGATGATGAATGCACTGTGACAGATCCTACTCTTAAAGATATTAATCCACAGTAGCATTCATGTTGAGTGAGATAATACCCATATCGAAGAAAGGAATATTTAGAAGTATAGTTAGTGTGTGTATGCATGTACAGGTTGTTATTCTCCCGAATCTGAGTCGGTAGAACATTGTTATTATTAGACGGTTGAAGGCAATCGGCAGGAAGCTTTTAGACTTAGGTTTTGTGCTTGTTGGCACACACACCAGTCAGAAAGGCGTATCTACAGTCTCGAAGGAATTCATGTCCTCTCTGAGATTAGAACCCGTGTCACCCAGTGCTGCTGCACTTAGAGACGTGGTGGCCACATTTCAAACGACTAGTAGAATTCAGCCTGTACCAAAGAAAAGACTAGACGCATAACACTAGTGACTTACTACCTACTTAGTGTTCAATCAAAGTTAGTTGAACATTCTTACAGACTTATTTATTCTCCTAGCCATCTTACAATACCTCTGTGAAACGTGCATTATAGTCGTAATACTTCTATGTAGACAGATATCCATTAAAGATCAACATAACAAGATGAAATGTTCATTATAATCCAAACAAACTAAACTGTTACTGAGTGAATGATTTAAACGCTTGACTGTCAACTCCCTTGTAGTCACGAATTTGAACGTCATTCATCAAATCTCTGGACATCTAGTCAACTAAGAAGTGTTAGCAGTTTTCAATTTAATGTGTGTGTAATCTGTTTCATATCGCAAATTGCCAGAAGTTGGAATTCATTGACCATTGTATTGCGGTCCCAGTGACTAAATGGCCTAAGAGGGTCGCTTTGTAACCGGAAGGTCCTGGGTTCGAACCCCGGCGGGCGCGTACTGTTGAAGAGTCCCAAGTTGTGCAATACTCCCTGGTTTTCCAACGGTTCCCTACCTGATGTCAGTTCGTGATCAGTCATATAGTGTAATCCAAGATGCACACACTCCGTCGCATATAGAACTCTCGTCAGCCGGGTGCACTCGCATTACCAGAGTGGGTGGTGTTCCCACTGAGAGATTCGGACCTTGTACCCAACGAAGAAAGTCGTATCCTGGATTCCGGTGCTAGTTAACATTAACCAAATTTTTTATCATAAATGGGAGACACACAATCATGAAGGAGGATATAAAATTGTGCGGAATGAATTCCGAATGCAGATAATCTCCTGTTAACGTTTATTTTTGTCGATCTAGCACGCAGTGATGTACTGTTTTATTTACTACGTGTAACCAAAGCCCACTTATGTCATATCCTAGCTCTCCTCACTTCTCGACTAAAACTAACCATTTTTATATAAATTGAGGCTTTTGGGATTGTAGACGATAAGATTTCTGTAAATTCGCCTTCAGTATTTCACTAATGAGTTTTTCATATCGCTGAAAATGTTACATTGCGTGTTTGAATAGTTTCCTAACCTTACTCCACATTATTTACATATCTCCACACAATTCTAGTGAAAACACTCACAGGTTACCGTCCTGTAATTATTGTCAGGTCTACTCCAGATGACCTTAAAACGCAGGACACATTTCATTCCTCATGGTTTGACACAATGACTCGTTACAGGATTTCATCATGAGCTGACATCAGTTAGAGAACCATTGGAAAACCTGGGAGTACTGGACAGCTGTCTCGTCCTAGTCTGAGACTCTTCATCAGTACGCACCCACCGGGGTTCGAACCCAGGACCTTCTGGTTACAAGGCGAGCTCGTAGACCATTAAGCCACTGGGACCCGATCCAGTGGCTTAATGGTCTACGAGTTCGTTAACCTTGTAACCAGAAGGTCCTGAGTTCGAACCTTGGTGGTGGGTGCGTACTGATGAAGAGTCTCAGACTAGGACGAGACAGCTGTCCAGTACTCCCAGGTTTTCCAATGGTTCTCTAACTGATGTCAGCTCATGATGAAATCCTGTAACCAATCAAATCCCTACAAACCAACACTTGAAAACAATGACTCGTTAGTTCCCTGTTCTTGCCGTGTACGCCGCGTCTAACATTGTTGTATCTGACAGTTTGTTTCTATGTCACAGGAGCATTGCTACAAACATACTTATGGTTATGAAACTGCAACTACCTGCTATCATACAAATTTTGCAACCAAATAAGGAAACAGAACGTACCGCTACTCATTAGGCGCGCACTTTGATTAGCATCTCCAGAATTAGTTCTAAATAAGTTTAAGGAGAAATGCACTTCACTAATTCTGTGACATTTTTAATAATTTTATTTCCTTTTCAGAATAACGCACCACTGAAATCTACAAATGGTGAACCAATAAATTCCCTCTTATCAAGCAAAAAACTTAATCGATATCAACCTTGTGGTCCAAATCCTAGTTTATTGGGGTCACGTGCCATCCCCCGTGGTCCTAATCCACATCTTGTTCGTGGGCATAATGCATCACTTGTCCGTGGTTCAATTTATCAACAGCAGACTGTGATTTCTTGTCGTGAAGTATAGTGGAAAAGGAATTTATTTATCTACTTGTCTCTTCGTATTTAGTCAGATTTAATTTAGCAATATTGTGATTATCGAATTTTTAATGATTGCAGATTTCCTTCGTTTTTTTTCTATTTATGCTCTCTCAGAAGTTTCCAGTATAAATTCTAGTCTTCTTTTTAATCTTACTTACACTAATATTCTCGCATCTTTAACAACTTATTTACGTGTAATTTACCACAAAAAGTAATAAAATAATTATATATTCCTGTTTAATCTGTGTTTTTGCAATTATATAAACGTTAACTTGCCTTAGGACATTATTATACAACTTATAATGATGACGTATGATATAGTTATGGGCTTTAATGTGAATTTTATTCATTTTAAGAAGTATATTTTCAGTTTGTAATCAGTAGGGCTCAATTAGTAGTATTTAGCATGCAAACTTATAAGAGACCAATCGATTCTCGGTTCTTCTCTGGATTAATAAATACTCATGCCTCCATCAGAGATGCTAGATGTTTTGGTCTGTGAGCCTACTTTGATTGCTCACAATAAACAATGTGATTTTGTCTAGTAATCAATGGTGACTCAAGTCTATGTATATATTATATATCCTACTAACTGATAATAAATGCGATTGTGGACTTCGAAGTATTATGAAAACTTGTTGTGCTTCGAAGTTTTCCTAGCGATTAGACTGACTTTTGGGGGTTTGAGTCAGTAGCCTCACGCCCAACCTTCCCTCTTTTCTTGAACCGACTAGCAATCTAGACGAGAATACCGTTGAGCAGGCCCTCGAGTGAAACTAAAATGGAAAACGACAAGATAGGCATGGTCCAAGAGTGACATGGAGGAGATGAAAGTTTATGGGCGATCGTGCAGCCAGATCGAAAAAAACTGCCGGGAAGAGTGAAATGTAGATGTGCTGCTGAAGACCTATGTTCCACTCAGAACCCAGGACAACAATAAAACATTTCGATATCCCAACCACAATAATTTTGGTTACAGGATTTCATCATGAGCTGACATCAGCTAGAGAACCATTGGAAAACCTGGGAGTACTGGACAGCTGTTTCGTCCTAGTTTGGGACTCTTCACAATAATTTTTATTGAATTGTATTTAACCGTAAGAAATACGACAAGTTAACTATCTACTATCATAGAAACCATATGAATGAAAGCTATCACATCAGAGTAAATTTATTCTGCTGCTTATGAAGTATAGAAGGAGGCATGCTTTCTCCTTATTTTATGTTGAATGTAAGACTTTAGGACGAAAAATCTTCTTCACACCAACTTATTATACAACAACTGACCAATTTCCAGAGAAATGATCCGCTCTTATAAGTAAAGTCCTATGAGATGATAGTGAGTTTTAGTACTAATTCTAGTTGCACCTACTCATCGTATTTACCTGTTCATGATGCACCTAGAAAAACAACAACTTGCAGGGATTTGACTGCTTACAGGTTTGATCACGAGTTGTTGACATCAGTAAGAGAATCATTGATTCGAACTCCGGTGTGCGCGTACTCCCTGGTTTTCCAATTGTCCTCTGACTGACATTGGTTCGTACTCAAACCTGTAACCAACCAAATCTCTGCAAACCAGCACTTTAAAATCAATCCGGTACTAACTAGCGACTGGTTGTAAACACGAAGTTACCTGGAGTTCTAGTGACAGGAGTTGTGGCCAGCGGGGTTCACCAAGTCAGATAAGAGGACAGTTAATCGCCGATGACGGTTGCGCTATGGTAGAAGTTGGATATAACAGACCACCGGACTCCGCCGCGGTAGCTGAATATCTTCAAGTTCGCCTTGTGACTGGAATGTCCTGGGGTTCGGACCCCGGTAGTCATGTACCGATGGAGAGTCCTAAACTAGGTCGAAACATCTGTCCAGTACCCCTTGATTTCCCAATGGTTACCTAACCGATGTCAGCTTGTGTTCAAACTCGAAAAACAATAATCACGACTACTGAATAGGTATGCATGTACATGTTGGGCATACAATATACATAGTTGTTCTTGCAATCAAAACGCTAAGGTAGCAACAAATACTGTTATACGTTTTATTATTGTTAGTGGTAGTACTGTGGGAAAAAGAAAACAGCACAAATAAGGAGAAGAGGAAAAGAACAAAAGTGCCGTACAGTAGTAGTAGTAACATGCAGAGATAGAAAACAGTCATGTGTATAACAATTGTCCATCAATACTACGGATTAAGAAGACAAATAGAGTATCATACTTCTACTGCTCATACATAATTGGAGCCAACCAAAAGTAGTGGTAAGAATAATCGATCAAAATAAAAATAATACAAATACATAGCAGCCTTTTCATCAACATATATCACCAACGACAAAAAGAGAAAACCACTGCATGTTGACGAATAAGGAAAGATTTCTAATGAGGTGGATGCACAGTTTAGGTGAAGTTAAGATACAGTAGGGTAAGGACGGTAAACTTAGCTGTAGAAAGTATAAAACTAGATAGGAAAAACAGAAAAAATATTACCACTCATGCATTAACATCAAGTGTCAGGAAGAAGACACACCTTCGTTGGAAGAAGAAAGCTCAGCTAACTTGCTTTTTAGTCCTATCCACGAAGAGGACATTATAACTTTCCAAAAAATAATCACGCACAGAAAAATTAATAAAAAGGCAGATAAATACACTGAATATTATTACGTATGAAAATGTAGTACTTTTTAAAGATATTTTTTGCTAAAATACCGGATTTACGAATAAAAAGTAAAGATCATAGTGACTGACTTGACAATACTATGATCAAAAAAGTATATGTATATAATACGATGAATATTATAACAAAGATGAATATTAATAAGAATGATAATAATTGCTAAAGGAAAGTGCGTAAGTATAACCCGATTCAACACATCATCATCATTTTACTGTACAACCATCCACCAATCAGCTGACAGTATTATGAATTCACTCGAACAGTCAGTTTAGTGAAATAACCAATCAAGAAAAAGCCAGAAAAATAAATCAATCATGGTTGACTGAGTGGGCGGCGTAAAATATCGCAGAAGAATATAAATAAAGTTTGAAAAATTAATCAGTAATTTTATTGTACAGAGAATAAAGTATACGTAAAGAAGGGAATTACACTAACTATTAACACTAAAAATGACTAATTATAATGATACCAAGTATAAACACTCATTCACACAAAACAAAACCATATTCTGTGCATCATACATCAATCTTCGTAAACCGAGCTAAAGACGACCATTAATTCAACACGGAAATAAAAAAAAACGGGAGGATGGACGATAGACACATATGGATAGAAAAATGACCAGTTCTTTTTTTGAATATATTCAGCACTCACGTAGATATGTGTATGTGCAGTACATGCGTGTGTTTTTTTTTTTTGAAGATGCTGACAATGCTGGGTGTTTGGCACATTCCTGTTTTGTTTAAATTATTATTGTTATCAATTAGAACAAATTAGCAACATCAACTGGAAGTTCAATAATTTTCGTACTATAGAAATTTTCTAAATCTTTAAGTATACGTTGATCAGCCAAAGTTACAAAATTGATAGCAACACCCTTACGACCAAAACGCCCACCACGACCAATTCTATGGAAATAAACAGAAATAATGGTAAAATAATATATCAATGATAAAGCTTAATTTAAGAAATTCTTAGCGTATTTCATCGCAAAATATTTCCTCTTCATACATACTCCCCGACCACGCATGTGGTCCGGGGTTCGATCCCCGGCCACCGACGCACTCCCTTACCTCGCTAAGCCAGTAATAAAGCTGGTAAAGAGGGAAGGTTAGCAAGGCTAGCAACCCCATCCCGTAAAAATAAACACTACTGCTACAGAAACTTCAAGCCTCTAGCTTGAAGCTCTATGTTCCACTGGGAACGTGAAGGAATCAGAAAAAAAATACAAACTCTACGAGCTAAATAATCTGTAGTGTACCGTATGAAGCAGTGTTGTTACATGTCTAATTGTCTACGGTGTTTTCTCTTCATTTCCTTCCAAAACTGCATAGTATTTTCTTGAAAGTTAATTAGAAATGTGCGCCAATACATGTGATGATCAATCAGTATGACTGCAGAAAAGTTTTGGATATTACGACGGATGGAAATTTTAGTAGCCTACTAATTTAAACAGGCCGCCTGATTTAAAATGACATTTAATCAGCAAATGTAATGCACACTGTAAGCAACTAAGGCTTGAACATACCAACAGGGTATGAACAGCAAACCGTTAGCTATAATTTTCCAACGAAGACAGGTACAAATTCAAGTTTATCGATCTTCACTTCAACAAGATAAATAAGAAAACGAAATTGGCGATAATACTACTGATGAATTAGTCACATCAGCAGCTACGAGTAGTTTTTACATTTGAACGATTTTATTATGCACAATGATGTAGCTTATTGACCAAGGATGACAGGCAGAACCGTGAAGCGTTTCATATTTTTCCCCCGACTAATAGCCGCTTACGTGGTGACCTGACTTGCATTTCGTAATGACCTGAAGAGATAAACTGGCTAGAACGAATGCTCGTGCAGGTCCTAATATATACCAGAAACGTTGCCTGGAAAGCTAAGTCATACTGGTAAGAAAAGGGGATGTAAGCCAATTATTCTGCCTCTTTGCTCTACGGAGTGGATGTTAGCAAAGATCAACCCCAAGGTTACTACATTACAGCCTACCGTGTAGAGGTCCGTAGGCGGCGGTTAGGACTTCTCAAGCTGTTGTCACCCGTAGTCATGTTCCTGCTTCACTTATTGATCAAGATGATCCATTGTCAAATAGAATATTATAAACTAGAAAACTATCGACATTTAAATGGCTAAGGGGGTATTTCCACTTTTGTCGGCTAATATTTTTCTCTTCATATACAATTACTCAGCTGATGGTTAGTATATATGCATTCAACGGTGATAGAAAATATCCAATACACACCAATACACTTTTTTATCAGAGGGAATATGATAAGAAACGCATATGCATATTTACTGGTCAAACTATCTGAGATGGATTCAATTTAAAAAATTGGTTAGATGCCTGAAGCTAAAATTAAAATGCAGGTCACAAAAAAGACTTCGAATTGACTAGACCAGTAATATGTAGATAGTTGGCAACTTCCTTAACTAAATGATCTTAATGTGAACTATTCTTATTATATATATTATTATTATCCCCTTAGGTTACAAGTGGAACAAGGTCTTCAACAGCGCACATCTCCATTTCATCCTGTTCTGTGCAGTCCTTTTATTAGCTGGCTCCTCCACGAGTAGCCATAAGCTTTCGTCCCCCATTCTGGTTCCATTTGAGGGCTTGCCTTACGTGTGATGTCACGTCACTCAGCGTGTGCCTGATCAATCTTTATTCGCTTTGGCATATTTGTTGGGCAATAGGTTCCTGGGAAGTTCGTAACCAGAGTTCCTTGTTAGTAATCCTTTTAGTGGACTTTTTTGTATTCCTTCACGTTCCCAGTGGAACATAGGGCTTCAAGCTAGAGGCTTGAAGTTTCTGTAGCAGTGGTGATTATTTTTACGGGATGGGGTTGCTAGCCTCATGCCCAACCTTTCCTCTTTGCCAGCTTTATTACTGGCTCAGCAAGGTAAAGGAGTGAGTCGGCCGGGGATCGAACCCCGGACCATGCGCATGGTCGGCGAGCGTCCTAACCGCTGTGCCACCGACGCACTTTGGTGGACTAGATGAGGAGAATCTGTTAGATACACATGCAGGATACAGTACTGGTTATAATACACACCTGAAGTGATTCTTTTTTTGCATATTTCGAAACAAAAACAAAACAGAAATATCTATGAAAACAGCATGATTTTGATAGAAATTACAAATAAAAATAATAATAATCTAAATTTCAGGTAGTATATTTCAATTTACCGATGTATATAACTCTCCAAATTTGTAGGCAAATCAAAATTGATAACAAGTGATACTTGTTGAACATCAATACCACGTGATAGTAGATCTGTCGAGATTAATATACGACTTGAACCACTACGAAATGCAGCCATAATATTATCACGTTCCACTTGTTCCATTTCTCCGTGCTAAATTATTAATTTTGTTTTGTTTTGAAAGAAAGTTGGGTGGAGGAAGAGAGAGAGGGAGAAGAAGGGAAATGAGAGAAAGAAATTGACACAACAAGAAAAAAATACGAGAAATAGTAAAATATATGTTGACTGAAATCTCTGTGTGGCAGTACACAACCCCATATATTACCAGGAGATATGACTGATTATCCCTGCCTAATAAGAACAGAAAATGCTCTTCAGGAAAAGTCAGTTAGATAAACACGGAATCGAGCCTCTTTTTAAATTATCCCCAAAGCAGGTCTTTATGCATTAAACTTACTGTTAGGCGTATACAAATACAGCAGTAGTGTGGCGTGTGCTACTGACAAAATCTATCAGTAGTATATAAAGAGACATTCAATGACACAAAAAAATTTCAAGTAGCGGAGTGATAGACTCAACATCAAAAGGAGCAAATGAACCAGCTTTGCGGCAAAACATGGGGGGACACAAAAAGAAGAAAAAGAAACGCAATACGAAGAGCAGAAGTAGTACAACACGGAGGATCTGTGAAATTGCCGATTTTCATATAAGGTGTACATAATTTCAGATAAACATTCCATTAAGATAAACATTCCATTACCGAATCTCTTGTCTTCTACCGTAACATTTGGTGTCACTGCCTCCAGACAATGAAGATCCCATGGCCTGATGCTTTCGAAGAAGGAGACATCAGGAGCTCCTCGTGGGACTTCGACAACGTGGTGGCGGTAGTGCTTGGGACATTGCTGAGAGGTCAGGCAAAGGTGGCGTACGACAGAGTAGTCGAACGATTGGCTGCAGAGTTCGACAGCCCGACGGTTAGACAGTTGTCAACTGCAGCAGTTCCATGACCTGACGGACACTTGTTAGGTGTTGGCGGTGAAGCTGACGAATCTACTACGTCGCACACTTTCCACTGTTATGCGCAAATACACTGAACATCAATCGGTGGATACTGGTGAACACTTAAGTAAAGACAAGTGACACCGAAACACAACTCATAAAATCTCAGGATACTTTAGACTGCATTCCAGTATCACTCTAATAAACTAATTTCATCATAGAGTAGATTTATTTGATCAAAGTACACTGTGACACAGTATTGTGTATTTACTGGTGACGTTTCAGGCACAATTTATTGCTCATAATCATCATATCAAGGTACTCACATAACTTTTAAACTTCATTTATATCATTCCGCTATTTCTTAATCCTTTAATTTTATTGTTAGTAATATTTTTCATGTGTCAGGTGATCCACAACGGAAAACTCACCGAAAGAGCCTTTAAAGTGAATGCAGGCGTAAGACAAGGCTGTCTGTCTACTGTCACCGATGACATTCCTAATTATGGTGGACCGGACTATGCGGAAGACTGTGGGTGGGGAACGAGAAGACAGGAATACACTGGACCGATAAAAAGACTTTAGAAGATCTGCACTTCATGGATGATTTATGTGTCATATCACACAAACTCAAAAATTTACAGGAGAAAACCAACAAACTGGAAAGAGAAGCAGAGAAAACAGGATTTCAGGTCAACATAAAGAAGATGAAGGTGATGAAGATAACCACGCACCAAAAACAAAAACCAGAAAAAATCACCATCAAAGGAACGAGCACAACTGAAGAGTCCCAAAATAGGACAAAATAGTTGTCCAGTTCTCCTGATTTTTAATGATCTCTCTAACTGACACTGGTTCGTGACGAAAATCCAACAACTGGAATTGATCTAAACTCCACACAAATCCTATAATCTGATGCATTTGTGCTTGCTTTCTTGACCAGATATTGTGTGTGATCTGAATGATTTCGGTTTCCAAAGGAAACTGTGGTGATATTTCGCCTCCTCGAACTGTGAGTACGATTGAATCCTGCATAATCTTGATATGAACAATGATACCAAATTTCCTCTCTTTGCCCCAACCTTTTCTTCGTATGTTCTACGCTGTTTGATAGATTTATTTCCCTGCCTCTTAATACCTATCTTTCGCCTCATCACAAACTTGGGTCAGTAATGTAATAATCCTAGCTTCTAATCTGATAGGGTATTTACATCACTCTATAGTCTAGAAGTGACCCAGAGCCGAATAAAAACAAAAGTGTTATTCAAGATTTCTGTCTGTCTGTTTTCGACATAGAACTTTGCACATATGTGCGGCAGTTCAAGTCGCCACACTTCCTCCTTGTAGCACACAAAGCAAGAAAAGAAAGTAGGAGAAATGCATATTAGAGACAGTAAACAGAGGTATGAGACAAAGGTATAGTAATAACGAAGAACAAAACAGTTTCATTGGAAATCATAAGTCACAAGGAGTGGATGCATCTGTGCTATCATTGAGAACGCTTTTGAGCCATGTCACCAATTGTTTCTAACCATTGGTTTTTTACCGTCCCGAGGACCCCAACCAGGAAATCTACACCTTCCTACGTGGCTTAAACTAACTGTTGTGGATTTCATTGACTGATGAGGCCATGTTTTGATTTATCACCACTGGCTGTTTTCCATCCTGATCGATCGTATGCCAACTACCATTGCCTGTCGTTGAGGAAGGCGATGTTAGCTGATATATTCAAGATTTAATACATTATTTCCCTAAAAAAATATTTTACAAAATTGTGAAAATTCAAAACTTCTTCCAAAAGAAGCATTTGACATGGCAGAATTCACTGTCCACAGTAGACTTTTATTCCGTTAAATAGGCTGAAGCATATTTTAACACTTTCAGTCTCTTATCTTCAGTTTTTAGGAGTGTCATTTTAATTTGCCACACCTGGTACGTAACAGGCAGTTGACAAGTGAATACCAAGTGTGACTAAAGTTTAAACAAGGAAATTTGCACAGAAGTGAATTAGTTCAAGTTGGCTACTTGCATAGATCACAGAAAGATAGAGGAAAAATATATTCAACAAAAAAACCTATAGTGAAGACACTTCTTTCCAGTAGCAAAATTTAAAACAAGCAACACCTGTGGAAGAAAAAAGCAGTATTTTAAATGAATTCATAAATTTCGGTAGAAAGACTTGTCAGCTGAATACTCCTGAATACAAACATTGTTTGTTATTTATACAGTTTTTGAAGGTTAAATATATACAAACAAATGAACATTGTGACAACAAATAAGTATCACTTTCAACAAATATATTATCTATAAGTGGCGAGTGATAATCTGTTAAGATGAATTATTATTTATTATTATTATTGTTTCCTTTAATTCCTACAGGAACATAGGGCTTCAGCCGTGCGTCTCCATCGCGTTCTGTTCTCTGCTAGGGTCTTCACCTGGCTCCATGTCTGCCCACACGTTTTCATCTCCTCTTCACATGACCTCCTCCAAGTCACCCTTGCACTGACGACCAACTCGCCGCTTCCCTTTCGGTTTCCATTCGAGGGCTTGTTTAGTGATGTCATTTGATGGTTTCCTCAGAGTATAACCAATCCATCTCCATTTCTTCCTGCCTATTTGTTTCACAATCGGTTCCTGGTTGGTTCGCTCCCAGAGATCTCTGTTGCTGATCTTTTCTAGCGGGCCATCTGATCTTGAGTATTGAGCGAAGACAACTGTTGATGAAGGTGTGTAGATTGTTTGAGGTGCTCTTTATGACGAGCTGGCCAAGTCTCTGATCCGTATAGTAGCACTGACTGACTTCACATTGGAGTTGAAAATCCGGATCTTATTTTTGATGCTGAATGCTGTTGACCTCCACACAGACTTGAGAGTAATGAAAGCTTGTCTTGCTTTCCCGATCTTCGCTTTGATATCCTCGTCAGTTCCGTCCGCCTGTAGTTGAAACGATGCTTCCCAGGTAGGTAAAGGAGGTTGTTTCTTTCAGGTTCCTTCCATTTATGCTGATTGTTGTCTGTTGCTGTTGTTACTGTTGGTGGTGTTGCCCAGGAATCTTCATCACCTCTGTTTTCTCTATGTTCACCTGAAGTCCTATCTTTGATGCTTCTTCTGCCAACTTGTTGCTTTTCGCTTGCATATCTTCCAGTTTGTGGGAAATCAGACATATATCATCGGCGAAGTCCAGATCCTCCAAGTTTTTTGTGTGAGTCCATGAATTATTAAGTGAATAATATTCATCTAAGTACAGATTAACAAATAAACTGGAGCTATTGTGGTAGAATTAATACTATTATAAACCTTGTTTTTGGACTCATCCGCAGTACACACCCACTGGGTTCCGAACCCCAGGACCTTCCGGTTACAAGGCAAGCTCGTATACCATTCAGTCACTGGGACCCGATACAATGGCGAACCCGTGAATTCTAACTTCTACCAATTCGTGATGTTAGCGCGACCACCAACCAATGTCATCGGCGGGAACTCCATTTTTACTCCACACTGGATGGAGCCCACTGGTCACGACTACTTACTATAACTTCAGGCAACTTCGTCCTGTAGCCAATCACTAGCAAGCATCAGATTAATTTCCACAAATTGGTAGAAGTTAGAATTCATGCGCTGGCCACTGAATCAGCCACCCCAGTGGCTGAATGGTATACACACTTGCCTTGTAACCGGAAGGTCCAAGGTTCGAACCCTGGCGGTGGGTGCGTAATGCCGATGAGTCTCAAACTAGGATGAAACAGCTGCCCAGTACTTCCTGGTTTCCAATGGTTCTCTAACTGATATCAATCCGTGCCCTAACCTGAAACAAATAGAATCCTTACAAACTAATTCTTGAAGACTATTATAAACATCTTGATTTGCTAATATTGAAATGCACGGGAACTTTTAAAAAAAGAAAACAAATAGATTTAACATATGTAAACCATGTAGGCCTAAAGAACAAGATTTTAACATGTCTGATTTAAACTCATAAGAGAGTTTGAACACTACTCACCAAGATTAATATTCAACTATGATTTTTTATTTGCACATATTCCTAAGAAAACTAACAATGTGTCACAAAAAACAATAATAATAATAATAAAGGAAAAAACATTGTAAAGAGAAGAGGGAAGGGAAAGAAAATTATAAAGGGCAAAATAAAAGTATGCTACCAAGGTAGATTTCAGCTAACTACACTGTCTGCATTTTTTTTGTATACACAGATCTGATTTCTCTAATCTGATTGCATAGGCTTCAGCAAAATCAAGAGCTTTTCTTCTACTACTTTGTTTATTAATAACTATAAAGCTTTTAATCAACGTCACTGTATAATCACAGCCCAACGTATGTGTGTATATGTCCTTGGGATGCCATCTTGAGTACTAGAAAGGCATTTAGAACAGTGTGAGACAACGCAAACCGACAGACATCGTTCCGTACATCCAGTGTATTTGCTTCCACAAATTAATTCGAACCCTGGTGGGTGCGCATTGATGAAGAGTACCAAACTAGGACGAAACAGCTGTCCAATACTCCCAGGTTTTCCAATGGTTCTCTAACCGATGTCAGCTCATGATTAAATCCTGTAAGCAATAACTTCACTTTATTTGTTAATATGTACTTCGAACAATAAAATAGACAATCACGAGGATTTAATGCATCTGGGAGGTAACCAAGTGTGAATACATTCGCACCAACAAGAACGGTTTTGACCCATACCACAAAATATCTCAAGCTATTCGTGCTTAGCATTACGAAGACACCAACCAAGCAGTCGACATTTCCCTACATGGTTCAAATTAATTGTCACAGACTTCGTGAATTGATGCCACCGACCCAACCCACCCCCCTCCTTAACTCTTTTCCAACTTAGTCCTATGTCAGTTAATATTGTTTATCGAGGAAGGCGGCGGCTCGGGCAGGCGTAACATGCATCCTAGACATCTTAGACGAAGTGGTTTTACAACCTCATCGATTGACTTATCACCTAGCACTCTACGCGTAACCAACACATCACTAGGACCTATCTCCCTTTAAAAAAAAATAAACACTATCATTACTTACCATTGCTGATACAATAAAATCACGTTCAATTAATTCATTTGTTAACCATTCAACTTTTCGACGTGAATTACAAAATATCACAGCTTGTGTTATTGTTATTGTTTGATACAGATCGCACAGGGTTTCTAATTTCCATTCTTCTTGTTCAACATTCACATAGAATTGACGTATACCCTCCAATGTTAATTCATCTTGTTTTAATAATATACGTACAGGATTTCGCATAAAATGCCGAGTAATTTCAAGGACTTCATTTGGAATTGTTGCAGATAGTAATATAACCTTATTTTAAAAAAATAAAAATAGAACGATTAGAAGATGATTCACTTTGAATGTGTATAAACTCTGTCACATGCTCCTGTGGAGCTCTAGACACACATTGGATGCAGTAAGCGTGTTCTGCGGAAATGCGTACTTGAGCATTATACCAGTGTTGGTTTATGAAAGGCGAACACCTTTTTGAGCCACATCATTCAGCCCTGTGTGTGATTTATCCTTTAGAGTTATCTACAGGGATAAATTCAGCCGCACTAAAACCACATATACACATACCTATATATAGCCAAACCACTAGCTATACACATGAACAAGAGCTTAAACTATGTATTCAAAACCGTTTTGCTAGATCCCTTTCTTTACGTCTATAGTTCACTCCACTTCCCTTTATATTCGCCTTTGCTATTGTTATTACCACTGTAACTTTGATTTTTGATCCCACTTTACCTTCTTTAAACCTCTTAATACCAATTCCCTCCTTTAATAATCTTTTACAATTCTGTAATCCATCAACTTTAACTCTAACCCTCCTGGAATTTCATTTTAATTATTCTCATTCTTACCATATGTATGTGAACTGAGCGATTTTTAGTACCACTATGTCTATATGTATATAAATATATATATATATATGACGGCCTGCTTAAAACTTGGGCTACCAAAACCTCTCTCTCTCTAATGTATATATTTCTCTCGTTCGGTTTTTTTAATCGACTAAGATATGATCTTTGGTGGTATTATCTACTCTTGTGTGTATTTAAAATGCTTACAAGCTCCTGATTTGCAAGTTTCTACTAAACTTGAGGAAAGACCTGATTCTGGGTGGCAACGTATTCCAATACATGAGATAAATGTTCTTTAGTTATCTCCTTGGGTCTCAAAATATACTTTTTAACATCTTACAAATGGCTTTCAAATAGATATTGTGGATTTCTTGAGGGACACAAAGGAAATATACCCTAATGCTATGGTTTGGGCTTCAACTAGGAAAACATTGTGCCACAGGAGATACTGTCAATTAATATTTTACTGGAAGATATTGTACGAAGGGAAAAATATCATGCAATCAACTCCTCTGAAAATCCTGTACATTTTATAAATACCGTCCAGAATAAAGATATTTTTATTATTATTTTTCCGTGAGATAAGTACAACTTTACAGCCGATTGGGAATGAAATCGTTGAAAAGAAATATTTCTTCGAGGAGCATAAACTGTTTCTTTCTTATTAATGAATAATTCGGTTACATTTCATTTGTTCAACATAGACATTAACACATGAGGTATGAATATATTTTTAAACCATCTTTGGGTATTTTTTTTCATTCAAATGAAACAGAATCAATCCATTCACCCTCTTGATCTATTCCATACTTTCTTTCTACGTTGTCCATATAAATTCCTGTCATGCTATTGACAAGACGATGTTTTTGAAGACTATTTTTAAGTTCATCAAGATATTACATTAGATAAAGGAAGTTGTAAAATTTCTCAATACTTATACAATAAGGTGACTATTGAACGAATCCTCTTTTAGAACTGGTGGGATTGACTATTGCAAACACTACTTTATTATTATCTCCCTGCACTGATCGTGAATATATATATATATATATTTAAACACAAAAACTTGGTACAATATGGCACCAAGAAGATAATAATAAAACAACATAGATTAAAAGTAAAAATATACGTAAAGAACGGATAAAGTACTTCATCTGGGAGGAAAGCAATCATATTTAACAAGGTCAAACAGCATTCGTCAATTATTGTCGGAAAGGGAAGAGAGAAGGAAATTGCAGCACGTTCGCCATTGATTACGATTTTTGGCCATATCCGATAACGTTTCGGGTCACTGATTCGAGCTATCTCTCGGATTTCAGCCAGGGAGTCGTGACGCACCAACCGATGCTAACCTAACACAAAAATCTTTCATCTCACGATGCCACGTTATGGGCTGACTACCTCTCCGCTTTTTCCATTTCGTCCCACGGTTAGCGAACAGAGACCTGTACGGAAGCCTCTGGGATGATATTCGCAGCACATGTCCAAGCCACCAGAGCCGGTGTTTCCAGATGACAACAATCAACTAATGGTGATCTCCACTGTGTTCAAACACACACCGCCGGAGTTCAGAATTACTCACGCGATGATACCATCGAACGCAAGATGATCGAACACGCAGAGTCACCGCACATCCTTAGCTTGGAGAGGCCAGATTTCACAGGCGTAGAGCGAGACAGTCGGCACCGAAGCATTGTAAACCCGACCTTCGACAGGCAGGTTAAGGTCACAACGATGCTAGAGGTGGCTCAATTTAACGTATGTCACCCTAGCTTTCATGACACGTTGGAAATCTCATACGTCATGCCTCCGCTAGTACTCACACAACTACCCAGATACACGAACTTATCGACAACTTCAAGCGGTTCCCCTGCTAGAGTAAGTGCAGGTACAGGCTCCTTCCAATCTTGTAATAGTACTTTGCACTTAGACGGCGCAAAGCCAATACTTACAGTCACTGATTGCCAAATGATTAAGTGCGATTTGGGCAGCCTGCATGCTATGCATGTAAGATATATGCAATCATATTTCGTTTCTGAACCAAACAATTACCTTCTTTCCCATCCCTTTAAACTTTTTCTGAAATTTTAGTAGTAGTGGTATTGTTTTTATGGGGTGAGGATGCTAGCCTCACTGCCAACCTCCCCTCTTTTCTGGCCTTACTACTGGCCAGTAAAACTAGGCAAGTCTTGGGGTACGTCAACCGAGTATCGAACTCATACCTCCAGCGTGTTTGGGGAGCACCCTACCACTGAATAACTGCCAGTGCACCAACAAGGCATAATATTATGTTCTCGGGAACAATAGCTTACAGTGTACTAAAATGACTATTGACTACAGCTTTCAGTGTAAAGGGTATAGCTTATAAACACTTATAAACATTGACCATTAAAAAATGAACTTAAAGAGAAACTAAACAGCTGAATAACCTGAGAACAGGGAAGCTCTAAGACTTATTGAATGTTTGGAGCGTTTCTGCAACAAAGTACTGGTGAGTCTACTATCTTAGTGTGAGTTTGACTAAGTCCCAACGTAGAACTTTTGCACAGGAGTGTGGTAATTTAAGTTCTCACATTCCATGTAGTACACAAAGACAGACAAAAGAGAGAGAGAAAAAAGGACTCAAAAGGACTGTAATAAAAAAAATGTAAGGGAGAAAGAATAGTGATATGAAAAACAACATTAGGATTTAGTGGATATAGAGAATCCCAAAGAGTGACTGCATCTGTACCATTCAGAAGAATTTTGAATTTTATCCCTAATAGTTTTCAGCTAATGGTACTTAGCATCTCGAGGACCCCGATCAGGAAGCCTAAACTTCCCTATGTGATTCAAACTGACTGTCTAAGATTTCATGGACTGATGACAGGTTTCAGTATGACCACCATTAACTCTTTTCCAACCTAGTCCTTCGTTGGATAACGCTGTCCTTCAATGAAGGCAATGGCTAGGCATGAAGGATACATGCCCTAGCCATCTCAATCGAATCACGGACTATCTTGATGAACACACTGCAAACTTGATGGACATAACTGAATCGGCATTTTTAAGAATTAGGATACATGACACTGGTCACACCTCGGTGACCACCTCTAAAGCTGTTATCATTTTGTCATTAAAACAATGTCGATACCAGGTAAAACTTACCTACATGCTCTAAATTGCTCAATTTCGCAGTTAACCTGAATCCTGTTCTAAGCGGACACTTTTGCAATGATGACATCAATGTAGCGCAAACACCTTGCTTACATTGGGTGTAGACAACATTTATAAAGCCAGTAAGGGTTATAAATCAGTGAATAAAATGGATTCATAGAACCTTATGAAGAAATTGATAAATAAGGCAAATAACATAACAATTAAAATGCAGAAATCCATGAATGCATAATCCCGCGACTGACTCCTAGTCATATCACCTACAATGCACAACCATGGGTGCACAAGAAATGGTAGGACATTAAATCAGTTAACATTAAGCAAAGCAAAAACACATACCTGTACAGCAGGATCAAGAGAACGAAAGATTTCTTGAATTTGATCTTTAAATCCTAGGCTAAGCATTTCATCTGCCTCATCCAGTACAAAACATTTGATTGTCTGTGTACGTAGATAGCCACGATTTATCATATCTAACACACGTCCAGGTGTACCGACTACAATCTGTTGACCCATTTGCAGTTGTTCAATATCTGCTGATACTTGTGTACCACCAATACACACATGACAAGTAATATCCATATAATCACCAAGGGCTAAAACAACCTACACAGTCCAATCAAGGAAGTGAAATGAAACATGACTTTTAGCTATGATAAAGTAGCGAAACGTAGATTTTAACAAATTAGAAGTTTTATAGATAAATTACAGGATTTTTTAGTTACACTGAATCGACTACTGGGAAAAACTGAAAGCGCTTAACAGTGGCTTCATCTTATCCTTAGACTCACTTTAAGAGAGTACCGCCACGAGTTATCTACGGATCAGAATGACGTTTTTACCCTTATTATAGAAATTTTAGTTAAATTCCAACAGCTAACACTCAACAAAACAACTAATCTGCAATTTAGTGTAAGGAATGCTATAGTGGTTTATATGTTAATGCCTCCATATGATACCTGGTTAATTTTCTATTATCAAAAGCTATCTTTGCTGGCTGCATACTGCAGATCAGGTGACCAGCCCGAAAGGATTAGCAACAAGTAACTCTGACAACGAACCAACCAACAACCTATCGCCCAATAAATATAGCGGAGGAAATAGAGATTGGTCGGGCACATGCTGAGGAGACCATTGAGTGGCATCACACACCAGGACCTTGAGTAGAACTCGAATGAGAAAAGACGAGTTCGGCTTGGTCCGAGGGTGACAAGGAGGAGATTGTGTTGGAGAGTCCCAATTCAAGGTCAGTGGCGGAATCTCAGTATGGATACGGAAGTCTCGTTTGATATCCATCAACTTGCATCATATTTGACATAGGCGTCACAACCCACCATCCACTGAATACATTTGCAATGTGCAGATGCTCGCTTCGTCTTATATTTGTATGAATGTTGGAAGCGGGAGATATGCAGAAGTTGGCAACTTTTTACAATAGGTAAATCCATTGAATCACTCATGTAATGTGGTGAAATAAATTCAGTAATAAAAAAGTGACTGACTACGTTTCAACATAGAACAGAATACAGAAGTGCAGCAGTCCATTCTCCACACTCCATATAACTTACAGAGGTAGAGAAATAAAATTTAAAGAGACTATAATGAGCAGAAGTTTATGGAAACATTACATAGAATACTATGAGGACCAAATGGATTTGGCAGAATACAAAAAGCCAGCACATCTGTGCCACTGAGAAAGGTTTTGAGCCACATCATTTGCAGTCTTTAGCCCTTAGTTCTCAACATCCTTAGTACTCTTGACACTCAGTCTACAGCCGCTCCCCACACGGCTAAAACCAACTGCCAAATACTTAATGTACTGACGTCACATTTTGTTTTGGTCACCCTTAACTATCTTACAACCTAATTCTATGCTAGCTAACATCCTTTGTGAGGAAGGTGATGACTTGGCATGCTTAGCACGTGCCCCAACGGTATTAATAAATTGACTTGCCTTCTTTACCGAATACGACATTTAACCTCAACAGTAATCACTATATTATGCATTTTAACATGGGAGATAAGACGACAACATTTGTGGCCAAAGACAGGGGGCACACCTCACAGTTAAAAAAAGGACAAAGTCGCGTTGCGCAGTAAATGAGACCTTTGATCGGTAGCTGGATATCATATTTACCCAAGAGATGACTTAAGTTTGTAAATGCCATGCTGACATTTCGTCACCAAACAGTTCATTAAGGCTGATGCAACTTAATAAATGAGTGAAGTGACCAATATACTCAATTACTTTACTCCCTATTTTCTAAACTAGGAATAACAAGTTTAAGCATTGTGTTAAGCGAAAAGAGATAGTTGATATGTTAGGTTGTGAAGTTGCACTCATGGAGATGGCTGTTACACATCCGGAGCAACTGCCTTCGTCAACGAGCAGTATTAGATGAATTAGGATTAGTTTGCAGGAGTTGGCCAGATGAAGATATGTCACCAATCTCTGAAGTCTTTGATGGTTAGTGGTATGGCTGCTGCCGTATGAATACTAAGAACTAATGACTGCAGACCACTGACGTAAATTCTTTCGCTACTTGTAGATGGTGATAATCCTCGGGGTTATTTTTTCTGTACATCTTCGTTCATTGTAGTTCCATCATATTTTTTATCTACTTTTGTGCAGTTTTGCAGTGTAGTAGCTTGAAATGATGAACTTTGTGCAGAGCTCTATCCTATTAGGCAAAGCTGTAATGGTTCAACCAATGTAGTGTTGAAGAAAGTGAATGTAAATCCATGAGAAAGTATTAACCCTTTAAAGGTTAAATATACGTTAACAGATAATGAAACCTTGATAAAACGCTGTCTACTGATTATACAAATGAAACTAACTTCTTTAAGTATTTCCAGAAATGAGAAAGGCATTTGGATATGCTTATTCGAATCACCAATTAAATTATTTAAAATCATATGCTCCGGATAATGGGGTGAAACTGAACTTACCATTTGAATTTGTTTTGCTAATTCTCTAGTCGGAGCTAATACTAAAGCCTGACAGCGAGGGTCGGTAGTGCAAATTTGTTGTAAGATCGCAATGCTAAATGTTGCTGTTTTGCCAGTGCCCGACTGAGCCTGAGCTATAACGTTACGTCCTTCAATAGAAGGAAGAATGGCCCGTTGCTGAATCGCTGAAGGTTTCTCAAATCCATAGGCGAAAATTCCACGCAAAAGACTTTCTTTCAAATTCATCCGATCAAAAGAATCACATACATCACCATAATGGTTATTGATATCGTTATCTGCCTCCATCTTATTAAAAAATAGAAGTAGAATAAAAAGATGCAATTTGAGATATCATAAAGTTGATAAAAACTTTAAAATTGACTGCACTATAGGTTAAGTACCGTTTTAATAAATTACAACATCGTTTCTTCCTCTTCATTTGTGCATCTGATCCATGCTCGACCATTTTAAGGAAGCATATCTTTAAACAACAGTGTATACTACGAAAGTAATATCAAAAGTTAGACGCATTTGGAGAGTAACAACTCTACCACTATGAAATGTACTCAAAGACCATCTAGGATACTGACAATTGGTAGGGAAATTAATCTGCTAGTACACTAACACACATTTATGCTAAAAAGCGTAAAGATCATCCAAATTTTATGGCCTTCCCAGCAAGATTATAAATGCTAGGGCTACCAGTCGGAAAACTTCAAGACACTTGTGATTGTTATGCGGCATTTTTACCCTACTACTGCTTCAGTCAGCAGCCACTAAACACGGAAGTAGGTCTGTTATTCAAGCAGATACGAATAACAAGAAACGTTCATAAGGTCTTTTTAGTGAAAGATCTTCTAAATGACCTGGCATCATGACGATATTTTCAGAAAGTGTATGATTGAATGTTCCATGTTTTCACGAGATCATTGAAAACAAGATCTTTACAAGGGAAGTCAGGAGAACGCTTGAAATGTTAATGGTAATGGGTTCTAAATGGGAACTACAATATTCACAAAGAATCACTGTTATTAATAATAATGCCATCATTCGCACTCTTTGAATAAGGATTTCACCGTTTCATCAGCGACACTACCCAGGTTTTCTATATTAAAAACAAATACAACGTATATATGTATGGAAAAATGTTTTTCTATGACTGACTAGTCAGCTGGCAAACAAAGCAGAGTTGTAATTCATATGCACGCAATAACAGTGAGACTGTAGACCTCCATTAAGCCTAAAAATCTAACGTCAATTTCGATCTAAGTGACGATGTGAACACAAATATATACAAGTGATTAAAAAGTGAGAACACGAAAAGGACCTGAAAAAGTCATGTAGCGCAAAACGTCAAAACTTGTAATAAATTATGTCCAATTTTGAACACGCCACTCAGCGCCAGTGAATTTTAACACACTTTCGTGTTGATGCCACAGAACAAGACTGTATGAAACTAAGGACATGTAGTTTTTATTATCTATTGATCTGGCGTGCATTCAATCTGATAACAATATTTTAGTGATGAGCTTGTATACACACGCCTATTTCCTTGGGATACCTAAAGTAATGTGAACAATTAAATGTGCCGACGACTGCTGGCCAATTTTACGATTTACTCCTTTCGAGTAAAGCAATTTTATGGGGGAAAATGAAAATGCCCTGATTTGGTATGTCTCTTTATCCATTCTACAGTAAAATTAGAACCATAATTTTAGACCTACTCCCGGATACTAGAACATCACATTACAGGGACAAGGCGTTGAAAACCTCAAACAAACATCCGAAAAGCCAGCTGAGCAACTGATACTTTTTTTCAAAATAAAATGGATCTAACAAGATGGCAATCTCTCAATGCTTCTCTTGAAATATGAGCTTGATAAAACCGGGATAGATTTGTGGGTAGGACAGAATGACTGTTCTAAAGACAAGTCTCAAGCAGAGAAATTCATTATAAATTAATGTATACAATAACTGTTCGTCACATTTTATTTACTCGTAATGCTATGGTTTTGATAGCATTTTTGTTGACTGTATTTGACAGTGATACTATTGCTACGCTTTTGTTGTTGTTGTCGATGCCTTTTCTGTTGTGATTTATTTTATTGTTGTCGTGATTGCTTTATTTCTTGTTTTCCTGATCCTAAAGGGAGCAACTCGAAGAGTCGCTCCTCCATAACTAACTTATATGTGTCGCAACCCCCTTCCCAGGTGTGAGGCTAGCAACCCCACCCTGTAAATAAAACTGCTATAGGAAATTCAGTACGATGAGTCTCCTTGCGACAAAAGAAAAAGTATGTGTGGGGACATGGAACGTCCGCACCATGTATGAGACTGGCGAAGCTGCCCAGATTGCAAACGAGACGAAAAGATACGGAATTCAAGTACTGGGAATATGCGAAAGTAGATGGAATGGGAGTGGACTCAACAAATTGTCAACGGGAGAGTCAATGACCTACTCCAGCCCTGGTACAATAGGAGGCGATTTCATCCAGGATGACCGCCAGATTCAACTCAAAGGGAAGGAAAGAGTTAATTATACAATGCTATGCACCCGCAAACAACGCAGACCTCGAAAAGAAAGACGAATTCTATCGACAACTACAGCCAACAATGGACAATACTCTAGTCGGTGACATTAAAATCCGAATGGGCGACATGAACGCCAAACCTGGACCAGACAACGCAGGAAGATAACTCACTATAGGTCGAGAAGCGCTCTGAGGTGAATGAAATTGGAGAAATCTTCGCTAACTTCTGCGCCTTCAGTGAACTAGTGATTGGCGGCAGCGTACACAAGCACAAGTATATCCACAAGGCTAGGTGGTGTCATCAGACGGGCAAACCAAAAAGCAAATTGTCTTCATCTCAATCTCAAGGAAGCAGAGACGCAGCTCACTGGACACAGAAGTAAGAAGAGGAGCAGACGTTGGCTCAGATCATCATCTCGCGCAAGGAACACTCAAAATCGAATTAAAAACTTTCAAAGAAACAGGGACTGCAGATAGACCACAAGTTAAGTTCAATACTCAAAAACAAAAGGATCAGGCCACAAAGGACATCTCCACTGCAAACGTGAGGAAAAAGGTGGAGACACGAATCAACACTAGCGAAAAGACCAGTTTTGAAAAGCACTGGAACAGCCTGAAAGCGGTGTAGAGTGAAACCTGCATGGGAGCTCTAGGCAGAAAGAAGAGACAGGACAAACAGTGACGTACTACAGACACATGGAGATTAATAGAAGAGAGAAGGATGTTGAAACAAAAGATTATCCAGTGCATCTACGAGCAACAAAAACAGGAGTTGAATGCAAGCTACAATACACTGAACAAGGAAATAAGGAAGAGTGCCAGGGAAGACAAAAGAAAATACTATGAAGCTATGGTGAATAAAGCAGAGCGAGCTGCAGGTAAAGGAGACCTCACAATGCTCTACCAAACAACTAGTTTCCTATCTCGGAAAAGTTCAACAGAAACTAAGCCAGTGAAGGATGACGATGGAAAGCCAATCACCAAAGAGATGGGGCAAAGGAAACACTAGGCTGAACACTTCAAAAGATTTATAAATCGACCACCACCTACAACGCACCCAATAATAGCAACAGCGGAAGCACAACTACCAGTGGACATCAACCCTCCGACGAAAACAGAAATCCTGAAGGCCATAAAGATGCTTAAAACCGTAAAAGCAGCAAGACCAGATGGAATCCCAGAAGAAGCATTGAAAATAGACCCACAAACACCAGTGGACCCAATAACACAACTACTGGAGAAGGTGTGGAAAGAGGGCAAGGCAACTGATGATTGGAAGAAAGGCTACCTATTCAAACTGCCAAAGAAAGGAGACTTAAGTCAATGAAAGAATTGGCGTGGCATTATACTCCTGTCTACCTCAAGCAAAATACTAAGCCGCATCATCCTGGAGAGAATCAAAAACGGCCTGGATGAAGAACTTCGACTGGAACAGGCTGGATTCAGGAGAAACAAGTCATGCGTCGATCAAATCGTAACACCACGTACCATCATTTAACAGAACCCTCTACCTCAAGTTAGTCGGCTTGGGAAGGGCCTTCGACAGCGTTAATCGAGAGGTGATTTGGAAACGAATTCGCCACTACGGGGTGCCGCCGACAATTATACACCTCACCCAACAGTTTTATGACAATGCTGCATGCCAGGTAATCCACAACAGAAAATTCACGGAATCCTTCGATGTGACGACGGGAGTGAGACAAGGCTGCCTACTATCTCCAATATGTTGACAGGTGTACACGACTGAAATTAGAACCTCCATGGTTAAGGAGAGTGAAGTACAACTTATTTTTACTCTTCAAAGTTATTAGGAATCATCGCTGCAGTTACTCATCCTTAACGTTGGCAAATATCAAATCATATCAGCTGTGAAACCACGACTACCTTATCAAGGTGGCAACCCACAGAAAATCCATCAGGGGAAAATTTTTCATCCTTAAATATTGCACTCTCTGGGACAAACTACCACCTGTAATTAGACGTTGTGAAAACCCTGATGGGTCCAAAAGGAGCCTAGAAAGACACATTAACATGTCCACCCAACCTCGTCTAAAAGACGAAAACTGTTAGTAGAATGATAAATGAAAGCCAGTCCAGTCTTCAGCGTAGTCACTTACGCATAACTCGGCTCTACTATTTACGCAGTGAACGCCCAACTAATTTACTGATTTTGCTATTCTCTATAATCTTCAATAAGTAAATAATTCCGGAAACAATTATATTAGCAACCACTCTTGCAGCACAGTTTGTTCAGGGAGTAGTAGACACGCTGACAATGTCTCATCCGAGAATCCCTCCGAATATAACATAGGCAACCAGGAGTTAGGGGCAGTAACAAGAAAACCCACCAATTACCCTCCCCAAAAAAACTGGTCTTCTGAAAATTATGCTCTTAAATGCTCGATCTCTCCTTAACAAAATAACTTCCCTTCGCAGCTTGGTATACATGGAACGGCCAACACTGATCCTGGTTACTGAAACTTGGCTAACTAATGATGTACCTGACACAAAGCTGATAGCTGTGACGTCCATAGGAATGATAGAGTGGACAAAAGAGGAGGCGGCTGTCTAATATATGCTTCTAAATCCACTGACTCCAATACTTTTACAAACCTAACTATCGACAAACTCCCAGAATCTAAGTCGATAAGCATCCACACGAATGAAAATAAAATTCTAGTGGGATGTATATACAGAGCCCCCAGAAGCCCTAAAACGACTGATACGGTTATCGCAGAAATACTAGAGCATCTACCTACTCTGGAATTCGACTGCAAAATAATTTGTGGCGATTTTAACCTTCCCGGAGTGAACTGGGATACCTGCATTGGACCTAGAATCCATGACGAGCTCCTTGAAGCTATAGATGTAGGAGGATGGAAGCAGCGCGTACGCCTTTCAACACGACATAACAATATTCTCGACTTAGTCCTCTGCCACAAAATAGAGCCGATCTCGATAGAGGTGGGGGATAAACTCGACAACAGTGATCACAACATACTGTACTGCACCCAACCTCTTCAACTAACAACTAAACACACACCTAAAAATTCCCCGGTTCACTATCGATATAGGGACTATAGAAATGCCGACTGGGAATTCCCACCAACGCTTTGGAGAAGCTCTAACTGGGATGAATACTTTACCAATGATAACTTAGAAGTAACACTTGATACCTTCTACAAGACAGTCAGTTCAGTAAGAGATACAACCGCACCCTTAAAATTAGCCCTAAAGACACCAACTCTATTCATAGACCGCAGAACGCGATTAAAACTAAGGAAACTGAAAAGAAAATTTTATTTATATAAAGAATTTAGTGCATTACACCAGGTACATGAAACATTTAAAAATATTGACGAAAGACATAAAATGAAGGCACAACTCGAGGAAAATAAAGGCATAGGGGCACCTCTAAAACTCAGGAACTCTGCAAGATATTGCAAAAACGACTAAACAAGGGTAAAGAAAATAATGCTGGCCAATTGGAACATAAAGGTATAATTTATGATGATCCCCAGCTTGTTTGTGAACTCCTAAACCATTGGTTCTCCAACAACACCAAAGCGCACCCGCCCCCAATCCTCGATATAACCTGCAAAAATAACTACGAGTTAGGTGAAATCAACTTTAATATACAAAATATAGCATCAGCGGTAAAGACACTAAAAGCTAACGGTAGTTGTGGGACAGATGATATACTATCTATCATATAAAGAAACGGTGGCTCGGGTATGATAGTACTATTACTCAGAATATTCACCCTCTCACTAGTGACTGGAACCTACGATGAAACTTGGAAAAACACGTATATACTACCTAAGCATAAAGGAGGGGCCAAAACTAGTGCATGTAACTATAGGCCTATCAATATAACACC